AACGCAAGCTAGAGAGGGTTAAATTTCATGCTTGTACACGAAGGTTCGTTTGTCAGAATCGGATGTCTCATTCAGGGTCTTTGAAATATGAAAAAAAAAACCTTTAATTACTGCGTCAATGTTAATAACTTAATTTCACCGTTGGATCGGTCATTTATTTCAGGGTTCCAGCCAGCATATTGTCGCGTATGACGTGCCTTCAGGCATTGATCGAGGCCTGTATAATTGCGTCATCCGTTAATCTCCCCGACATCCCTTGATTATCAAACACCCTCTATCAGCATTGAATAAACTATCCAATCATGTCGCATTACTTTCTCAATACAATCAGAGTCAAAAACAGCAGACGGAAAGACAGATAGAAAAAGTTGAATGTCAGACAAAATCCCCTTCGGACATAATCCCCTTCATGTATTTTTGTACATCTGGACATAAATTTTAATCCCCTCCATGGGTGGACATAATCTGCTTCATTTGTGAACTTTTGAAGTGGACAAAATCCCCTCAATAAGATTGCTACCTAGGACAAAATCCCCCTCGGATGAATTTTCTGTTTATAAAGTGGGTATGAGAGCATTTTTTTTTTTCATTTTTCTTTGTGTAGGTATAACCTTCGAAACACAGCTTTTCAGAGCCTTTGTTACTTTTGATGACTTCCATTTTGGTAGTGAAGATGCATAACTAAAGTTACCCATTTATATATGTTTTTTTTTATATATTCACTCTTACTTAAGTCATAATTTGAAGCAATTTAAATGAACAGTGTTAAACTAATTAAAATGGTTTTTTTAAACTAATCAATTTAAAACAATTAAAGAAATTGCTTAATCAAATATATTTGTTATGCAGTTGATAATTTACAATGGGATTTTGTCCGGATAGGTATAAGGGGATTTTGCCCGGCCTTGCAAAAACATGAAGGGGATTATGTCCACCCATGGAGGGGATTTTGTCCGGGTATGCAAAGGGGATTTTTTCCAAAGTGGATTATGTCTGAAGTTACGACGTAACGATTGCTTTGGTATGTACAACCCCCCCCCCCCCCCTCCACCCCTTCAATTAATTTTCGGCTTGTGGCACAAGGAATTGACAGCAGGCAGCTTGTTTTTCTTTTAAACGTAAGAAACAATGACTAGAAATGTATGAAACTGACGATAATGATTTAAATAGATAAATACAAAAAAAACACACACACAGAACACTTCCATGCCGATTTTCCAGCCTAATTCTATAGAATTCTTTTTCTATTAAACATTTCGGATCAATGAAAATATTTGCCAATATTGAACTCCATTCAATGGTTTAAACTTTACAGAATATTATTTGCTGTAAAATCGAAAATTCTTTTGTTGATTGATGTAATTCACACTAATAATGTAAAAAAAATTGACCTTTTGCCTAAAATAGATCTGATTTCGAATGACATAAAACTATTGATTGGAAAAAAAATCTCATAAAAATGTTTTAAATGAACTATTTTTCCCTTCCTTAACTTCTTACACTGAAAAAAAAAACACTGCTGTAAGCACTATACGAGTACAAACTTGTTAACAAAGTCTTTACCCAAGACATAAAAAATAACGGCAACATTTATATGATTTGATTAAAAATGACTTAACATCAAATATTATTCCTTGTCAAATCAGTAACAATACATATTAATCTAATGTTCCTACTAAAGGGATACTCGAACAAATCAATGACAACAATATTAAAATCATTTATGTACTCAAATCACCAAAAACGACATTTTTTAAAGTCCCGGCATGAATTTCTGTATAAATTCTAAATATTTTGAGTTTGAAGCGTAAATTTACCTTTATATGTTAATTGAACTAAATTTAGACGCCGACAGAATCACCGAGTAGTTTCAAAACAAGACATGTGAATTTAACAAACCCTGGAAGTTAAAATAACATATACACACGTATTGTGGATAATGTATGATTTAAAAAAAAGTTTTAGTCATTCATTTTGCATGCTCTTTAACGTTTCCAGAGTTCACTGTGACAACTTTTGTGAAATCACAACACTCTAACCTGGCCCACGTGGGTCAAGTTAGGAAACCACATTTTATTCTTTATAAAAAATTTGATCATGTGACTGCTTAGTGTATTCATCATTTCATGTTGAGGACTTTTACAGAATAATGAATGAAAAATTCAAAACAAAGAAATGTAAATTTTGCATATGTACCCCTTTAAAATCTAATGGCAGTCAAATAACTGATACCTTTTATTAAATTACACGCACTGTGATTTGTTGTTTGCTTTTCTTCGTAATATTCTGTTGTTTTCTATGCCTGACAAAAAAGTTTATAGAATTGGAATAAGACAAACCATATTTAGTAACTGTCCGAGCTTTTTTACTTCTGTTTTTGATTTTGTAAACACATCTAAAAAGGTCAGACATTAACTATATATGAATTCTGTTGTTTTCCATGCCTGGCAAAATAAGTTTATAGAATTAGAATAAGACAAACCACATTTAGTTACTGTCCAAACTTTTTACTTCTGTATTGATTTTGTAAACACATCTAAAAAGGTCAGACATTATAACTATACATGAATGTAGATGTTTAAGCTCTATTGATTTTTCTTGTACTACATATTAAATGCAAAACTGGCAGATACTTTTTAGCTCATATTGCTAACATATACTCCCTTCCATAAAAGCTGTCAATAATACAAGCTGATTCAATTGAATAGTACTATAAGTTTAATCGCCTCCGTGGTCGAGGGGTTAGAGTCAATGACTTCTAATCCAGTTACCTCTCTGGCGTGGGTTCGATCCCCGGGAGATGCTTTGGTAGTTTAGCGCGGAGGAAGGTAGTCTAGTACTGGTGTGACTCTCCAGGAACGATGGTTAGGAAACTACCCGCCTATATGACTGAAATACTGTTGGGAAAGGCGTAAAATGAAACAAACAAACAAACAAACAGTACTATAAGTTATTACTATTACTGAATATGATTATGTTACATGAGTGATATAAACTTTAGGGACACATTTCAAGTAAACAAAAACAATACGAAAACTGTTGAAAATTTGGTTTTTTTTTACATCATTGTTGACTGGCTTACAGTAAAATAATGTAAAAAGGCGTGTTTTTGACTGTAGAATAGTCAATAATTTTTCCTAAATACTGTGACATTGGTATTTGCCCATACGGACAGCACTAATTGGCTCTAATTGGTACTTCAGATATAATTTTGAAGGGTTTATATAATCGTAAAATACAACAACTAGAAAACTATTCAACATGCAGATATGAGTTTTCAACTGAAAATTTCTTGACCATTTCCATTCTTATTAAAATGTCTTGAATATTCAAAGTTTTGACCGTAGGACAGGAAAATGCTGCGAAAATATAGAATCACTCATGTATCTGTAATATTTTCTATTTTGTGTACGTATACATACAGCTTGTAATTATACGGAGTTCTGAAGTAAATTAATAAGAAGAACACAGATGTGAATTAATCTAGTTTAATCTAAGAACTGGTAAATGTCGGGAATCGCCTGTTATATATATATGATATCATTACCAATATCGTCAGAGATTTAGCTCTATGATATCAAAGTTTATTTTTAGACCAGAACAACATGAGCAAAACACCAAATTTTCAGAGTTCCAAATAATAATTATTGGTATCAACTACTAAAACTGTCAAGAAGCAGGTGTAATAATATATTGATTCCATTTTTAAAGAGTGTTTATTAAATCAAATATGTACTGGCTGTCACTCCTGGGGTTCCGGGTTCGATCCTGGGTAACACCCTTGGGATTTTTCAGAGACACATTCCGTGTTTCCCACCTAACTAGAGGTGTACTTGTAAGAAATCCAGGTAATCCTCGCATGTATTGATCAGTGCTATACACTGGGCCTGCACTGGGCATGTAAAAGAATTACCAATGGGTCTATTCAATAAAAGTTATAGGGACAGGTTCCCGGATTCCCTTTAATCTCATAGCTATTTCTGAAGTGACTGTTCTAGAGTCATGTCTACGTCCCTGTGAAGGGTTTGACATTAATGGATGATAGGTAGATATACAGTCTTGATATGTATTGTAAATAAAATACTATATATAGTCAATATTCCTTAGAAGGGAGCATTTATCACATTTCAAAATACCTATTTCAGAAGCATGTTATTCCAATGCTTATAAGCATGTATAAGTTCTTTTAGAGATGTACTTGTGGTTTAAAGTATCTCTGCCGAGTAAAACTTTCGTAGATATACATGCAACTATGAAGATATTTATTGGTGTTCAACCTTCCAAGCATTATTTATTTACTGACGTAAACTTTTTATGTTTATGTGAATCACCAAATGTTTTATATATATTCCTTTAAGTTTCGTGTCTTGATATAACACTGTAGCTATACATCATAACAAATTAAAAAGATCTTTTGAGTTTATTTGAAATTCACGAGTATAAAATCATAGTGCAGAAAATCGAATAGTACTCTACAGCCTACCCAAAGTGCATTAAATCGAATAGTACTCTACAGCCTACCCAAAAAGGACCTTTCAAGTGACATTTATTTAAAGAAATCTCGCTATATTGTTTTATATTGTGCAAGAATTAAAAAGGGATTTCGAATTCCTTGAAAAATGTATGAATTAGTCAACATTTTTCTCTGTATATTTTAATTTTGAAAATACATTAACGATTTAGCATTAATTATTTAGTGGTAACTGACCTATTATACTCTTGAAACCAAAGTAAAAAAATCTTCGGCTTATTTCGCTTCATTCCGCTAGAAACCGTAAGAAGGAAAACGGGAATCGATAAATAGAAACCCGGAAATAAACGAACAAATGTTCGTGAAATATTCTCAATATAAAAGTAATTACTTAAAGAAATCTTAAATATGCTTTATTTAGATTATTATAAAGCAAATAAACATATAATATGCATATACGACAACATAATTTTAGCTTTTACAAAGAAACCTTATCTTATTGTCGAGTAAATTTGCTTGGTTTCAAGTACATGATAAAATACGCGCATTATCAAGTCACGTGACTGAAAATAGTGTTATGGAAGATCGGGCTTTAAAAATATAAGGAAATTTAATTGATCGATAACTAAAGTTGCGAAATGACTTGAGCAAAGACACCTTAGCAGACTTGTTACACTATACCAAGGTAACACGTTCGCGAAGTATCCATGTATTTGTCACCACAGTTTTTTCGTATTTTTGACTTAAATTTGCAGAGTATTGAGACTGGTTATAGTCCAGTACGGCCGCCATGCTGGATTTCCAATTAGGCCCGGACAATTCATATTGAAAATAAATTTTATGTACCATATTGACGTTCCCCAAAGTTTGTTTTGATTGAAATATTAGATTCTGTATTGCAGCCATTGTCTGTCAATGACCTCATTTTTCAAATCAGCAATTGGCATAAAAGGACCACCCTGAATTGGATACAGTGGCTGCACATTGACATTTCAATAAATATTTAAAAATCAGAAATTCATTCTACCATTTTATCAAAGTGATACAAAAATGTAGACAATTTTTTGGTCATTTGAGGTCACATCCTGTCTTTGCTTGTTTATGTTGTGTTCCTTTTTAACAAGGGTCAGGGACATATAGATCGGTATGCAGCTATGCTACAGTCCGTCTATTTGTTCTACACAACAAGATATTGTGCTATTTTGTGTCTGGGCAATATTTTGCCTGTAAAACCGAGATTTTGACCCAGAATGAAAAAATCTCAGAATCTAGCTTTGACAGCTTACTTACACCAAAACCCTTAACATATAGAGGGATAAGAATTAAGCTCTAAAAATAGAGCAATGCCAATGCAGACCTACAATCGTTGCAGGATATATAAGCTCGCCCTTGATTGGCTTGTAGGTAGTCAATTGCTGCCATCTTGTTTTACTTAACCAAAGGTGTTTACATACATATATATATATTTTTCAGCCGTTACCTATAATAATTTACATCTTCCTATTATTATGTATGCTTTTTTAATATTTTTGCAGTTACTCTTTCGTCACTTCTGTTTTACGTAACACCTAAAAATACAAAGGTAAAACAGAACATGGTTTCGGAAAATCTTGCGAAAAATATGAACTTTCGGGATAATTAATGGCTGATGCAGATTTGTAGTATCTAACGTCATTCCTCTCCATTGATAGTTAGCTCTGTGGCTTACACAAGGAATATTAAATTTCTCTGCTGTTTGTTTTCCAAGTGCTGTAAAAACCTCAGTTTACATTTAAGTGATAAAATATGATTAAACAAGATCAACAAGGAAAGCCGCATTCAATGAACCTGTAGTTTACATATTTATATAAGTGATAAGCCTGTCCATGCTCTACCTTGTGTCCTGTGTTTGTTTGGGGTGACCACCGGGGCTGCTTGCCACTGGTTCTTGTTACTGGGTCATTTGAGGATTACGTTCATTGAACGCTGCCTTTCCTTGTTGATCTTGTTTATCATATCTTTTGGGACTTTGACCCTGCACATAATTTTTAATCATGCCAAATATTTACTTCCTTGGTCAGGGATCCGCCAGAAAAATTCCAGTGCCAAATTGATGGCTTAATATACCAAGTTGGTCGGCACGTTTTCCCGCCTTTCATGCATAATTGTCAATACTAACTGTGCAGCTTAAATGTCTTTTTTTAATTAATTAAATGAGTTTATTGAATGTTTTCCAAGTGATTTAAAAACCTCAGTTTACATTCACCTTGTCGAGATAAGAATAAAGTTATACATTTTTCTTTTCATCCTACCACAAATTCTACATGTAAGTATTACTGGAACAGAGGAAAGTAATCTAAATGAGTGTTATAACCAGTAATTGCACCAATTGAGAATGCTGAAAGAGACTGACACCCGGTAGGATTCAAACACTAAACTCTTGATGTTGGGACAAATATTTGGCCCACACAAATATTTGGCCCAGAAACCAAGCTGATGTTCAGCCATTTTCAAAATTTTCTAAATTGTAGATAGAAAGCTAGTATGTGTTCACAGACCTGTTAATCTTTATTATTATAATTCAACCAGTTTGAAAAAAAATTCAGAATTGTCCAGGTTGATAATGGTTGTAACTGGATTGATCTTTAAAATTAGTGAAGTGGTCCACTTCTCTTGTAATTTGGAAGAGTCTGGGTTGTGTTTTACTGTTCTCAGTATACTGAAAAAACTTCTAATTGTAAGACTGGAAGATTTTTGGGCTGGCACTCTAGTGCCTGTCCCTAGCTGGCTTTCATTGATGGAAAATTTTGTATTGATATATTGATAGACAAATATTGACAATATATCAACTTTGACAGTAGATACAATGAAAAACATTTATATATGTGTTGTAAATTGGGATCATGGTGTTATGCATGCTGGTATTAATAATTAGACATAACAAATTACTACAAAGTAACAAAAAGTTTTTTTTTTTGTCACTGACATTTGAAAACAGAGTTTAAAGTTCAAGTTAGCCAAGAAAACTGAAAAAAGTGATTTCTTTTATTAGGCAAAATAGAGAGGTCTATTCAGTAACAGAAATGAATAATTTTAGCTTGTATCAATATTTGAAAGTGTGTATATCGATATTGTATCGGATGATGAATATCGATGATGTATCAATATTGCGATATTTAATGACACCCCTTCTAGTTATATTGGTTTTTCACATTCATGCGGTTTACTCTGTTGTCGCTACCAAGGTAACATGCCGGAAACGAAATGTCATACAAATTAACATACACATAGCAAGACTTAAGTTTCTATATAGGCCCTAAGGTCTTCCTCCATCAGTATAGCTGGAACATCTCCAGATGAGCTTTACAGGTATACTCTGTCCTATTCTAGGATTCCGAATAATAGGGGGGGGGGGGGGGGGGGGGGGGGGGGGGGTTATCGAAAAGTGAGAATAGTTACATTTGTTGATCTTTTTCCTTCTTTCTCTATGTAAAATTTTTCTCCCTTCTGAAAAAATATGGGGGAATTCTCAAAAAAATATGAGTGAATCACCCCATCCCACTTCCTAGAATAGACACTGTATATTATGTCAGTGTGACGTAAAACCCAATAAAACAAACAAACAAAACTATATGCCCTACTTTTATTATATTACTGGGTATATGTATTGATCTGTCCAAGTTACCATGTGTTTAGTGTCTAGCAAAAACGCATCAACTGGCTACCGGGTTATTCAAGTATCCCAGTATCAATACTTTGCTTTGTACCGTTGTTATTGATAGTAACAGATAGCCAGTCCATCTGAACTTCTGTACTTTGATTTTGGTTGGGTTTATTTTAAGTTGCACTGATACTGTAATGGTCATATGGCAGTACTCCCAGCTTTATTGGTGAAGGAAGATCTCAAGTACCCCTCCGTGCATTTCAGGCGTGAACTGACATCAGAGTAGAACAACCGATGCCCTACTACATATAGACTATCCCCATAAGCATGCTGGATAGCTTCCTCACTTGAAAGAATCAAAAGTCTCTAGCAGGATTTGAACCCATAGCGGTGTGGGGCAAGTGGTATGAAGTTAGAGACTTTAACCACAACTGATGCTTTAAGATACTTTGGATAGTCCTGTAACTTGAAGTAGTTGTAGTTAATTGTCACAGATTCAAGGTCAAGGTCACTGTTCTAAAAATAAAATCTGGTCAACAATTCTATCATTGATGGATGGATTTAAGAATTATTGTGCTTAAATGTGTTGGATATACTGAGGGTGTGCAGGGCGCAAGAAATAGGTCCCTACCTCAAAGGTCAAGGTCACACTTGTGGATTTATCAAAGTTTATTAAAAAAAGGAGACTGATGTTTGTGTCTGGTCAACAATTCTGTCATTCCTGAATGGATTTAAAATTCATTATGCAGAAATGTGTTGGACGTAATGACAACTTGTTGCAAACATGGGTCAGGTCTCTCCCTCAAAGGTTAAGGTCACACTTGCATTTCAACTTCATAATAAGAATTTTTATCATATTATGCTTTGATAATTGTGTCTGGTCAACAGTCCTGGATGTATCTTGAAATAATTTTGCATAAATGTGCAAGTCATGATGGTGATGTGCCGAGCATTGGGGTCAAGTATCCAGTTCAAAGGTCAAGGTCACATTTGTATGTCAAACTTGATGATTGTGAATAGATTGTTTTCTTTTGTATATAACTGTCATTCAAGGTTGGACTATGAAATAATTATGCATAAATATGCTTCTTTAAAACCAAAATGATAATTATGCAATGAGCAAAATTTAGTTCAGCGGCCCAGTTAAAACTTGAATATCAGAACTGACAGAAATCATGATACAACAGTGCATTGCCATGGCAATCAAATAAAAAAACTTAAAAAAATCTTCTTTTAAAAAACCCAAAGAACTAGAGCTTAGATATATAGAATGAAACCTCTTCAGGTGAGTGTCTACCAAGTTAAAAAAGCCTTGGGGTCAAAATTGTTCCCCCCCCCCCCCCCCCGGGGGGCTTCATTTATTTTCTCTATGTGTATAGAGTTATAACTTACAAAAATCTTTAAAAAAAAAACACACACACAAAGAGCTAGAGCTTAGATATTTAGCATTAAACATATTCTAATGAGTGTCTACGAAGTTTGTTCAAATAAAAGCCCTTGGATCAAAATTGGCCCCACCTCGGGAGTCATTGGTTTTCCTTACATGTACACATCTTTTGGAACTGTTGGTTTCTCATAGCAATAGCAACCAGTAATGTTTTTACACATGCACTTTTTAGCTCACCTGTCACAAAGTGACAGGGTGAGCTTTTGTGATCGCTTTTCGTCCGGCGTCCATCCGTCGTCCGTCCGTAAACTTTTACTTTAAATGACATCTCCTCATAAACCACTAAGCCAATTTCATCCAAACTTCACAGGAATGTTCCTTTGGTTGTCACCTTTAAAAATTGTTCAAAGAATTTAATTCCATGCAGAACTCTGGTTGCCATGGCAACCGAAAGAAAAAACTTTAAATATCTTCTTTTAAAAAACCATAAGAGCTAGAGCTTAGATATTTGGCATGAAACATCTTCTAGTGAGTGTCTACCAAGTTTGTTCAAATAAAAGCCCTGGGGTTAAAATTGGCCCCGCCCCGGGGGGGGGGTCATTGATTTTCCCTATATGCATCTAGTAAAATCTTAAAAAATCTTCTTTTAAAGAACCCAAAGAGCTAGAGCTAAGATATTTAGCATGAAACATGTTCTAATGGGTGTCTACCAAGTTTGTTCAAATAAAAGCCCTGGGGTCAAAATTGGCCCCGCCCCGGGAATCATTAATTTTCCCTATATGCATATAGTAAAAACTTAAAAAATCTTCTTTTAAAGAACTCAAAGAGCTATGGCTAAGATATTGAGCATCAAACATGTTTCTAATAGGTGTCTACCAAGTTTGTTCAAATAAAAAGCCCTGGGGTCAAAATTTGGCCCCGCCCCAGGGGGTCATTGATTTTCCCTATATGCATATAGTAAAAACTTAAAAAATCTTCTTTTAAAGAACCAAAAGAGAGTTAGAGCTAAGATATTTAGCATGGAAACATGTTCTAATAAGTGTCTACCAAGTTTGTTCAAATAAAAGCCCTGGGGTCAAAATTGGCCCTGCCCCGGGGGTCATTGATTTTCCCTATATGCATATAGTAAAAACTTAAAAAACCTTCTTTTAAAGAACTCAAAGAGCTATGGCTAAGATATTTAGCATCAAAACATGTTCTAATAGGAGCCTACCAAGTTTGTTCAAATAAAAAGCCCTGGGGTCAAAATTGGCACCGCCCGGGGGTCATTGATTTTCCTTTTATGTGTATAGCAAAAACTTAAAAATCTTCTTTGAAAAAACCCAAAATAGCAGAGTTTAGATATTAAGCATGAAACATCTTCTAGTAAGTGTCTACAAAGTTTGTTCAAATAAAAGCCCTGGGGTCAAAACTGGCCCGGCCCAGGGGTGTCATTGTTTTTAACTTTATGTGTATAGTAAAAACTTTAAAAAAATCTTCTTTTAAAAAGCCCACTGAGCTAGAGCTTAGATGTTTAGCATGAAACATCTTCTTATGGGTGTCTACCAAGTTTGTGCAAATAAAAGCCCTTGGGTTAAATTGGCCCTGCAACGTTGGGGGTGGGGGTTGGGGGGCCTATATACAGATGAGCGACCTCAGGGCCTCTTGTTCAGATTATGATATCAGTTTAAGATTTAGATTTTATATCTGCTTTTGTTAATAGTTTACAACTTTACTTGTTCCTTGTCATGGAGAGTTTTAGGGGAGCGATTTAGGGCCATCATGGCCCTCTTGTTTTTAAGAAAATAACATTTTTACTTTAAATTACTTGTAATAAGGAAACGCAGCTTCCCAATAATTACATGTAGTTTATTCATTCTTTTACTGTGTATTCAAATTAGACATATTTAGTAAGAATTTTTATAGATTTCAATAAATTTCTGTGGTTAAAATAGTTTTTACAAGGATAGGCATTGTAAGTATATCTTTTAATCAATTTGTGATGAGTTTATAGCTTGTAGGGACTTACAAGGTTTATAGTTTCATAAAAATACATGAATAGTTAAATATATATCTAGTCATCACTCAGTTCTAACATCCATGAATGGATTTTGAAATCACTAGGCATACTTCTGCAGTGTTTTTCCACTACTTTCAAAGTTATGTTCTATAAAATGTGACACAAATACTCTAATCCATAGAGAATTCACAATTTTTTCAACTCATTACATTTCAGCCAAGATGGTAGCAAGGAAAAGCTCTCGGGTGAAGAAAACCACCGTGGTGTACCAGGCACCGGAACAGGTTTCTAGATCTCCGAGGAACGCACCACATAAGACGGTTACCCCACGTCGTTCATTTAATCGTGACATTGAGCTGTATATGGAATGCGTTGACGACGAGCTCTCTCCAGCGCAACTTAAAGCAATTAAAGAAGCCCAGAAAGAACACGAAAAGGTAAAGTATTTAGAGCTGTCATTGATCACCAAATTAGGAAGGTTTTTTTTTGTAAATTTTAATTGTCACCCTTTCCTTGGAATCATTCAATATATATTTGAAGAAAATGCATATTAATATGTAGATATCTTAAAGCAAACAGAAAATGATGTATCAAATGATTTAAAAGAAAATCAAATTGACAATCCAAATACTTTAGGAAATTTTTTTAAAATATATCATTGCAGTACTATTGTTTAGTGTATATTATGATGGGCATAATGCCACTTTATGTTATGATAATGCTTTTATTTTCAGGCCAACGATTTGATCAAAGAAGTGCGTGCAGGGAACACATTGGTTCCCTCTTCACAACCAAATACGTTCACCATTGTACCACCGAAGCCATCACCTGCTCCTCCCAAGCCCCCTCCTGCTCCAAAAGTTCAAGCGTCAGCATTTTCATCAGCGCCCATCCAGTTGGACGCCAGCGCACAGAGGGGCCTACCCCCACCTAGACCAGCTCAATTCCTCAGTAAACAATTACAGGAGATAAAAAAATCAACAGGTATGAGTAGGGGTGTGGATCGTCGGATAAGTGACGATCCGATCCGAACCACGATTCAGCACTTACGATTCACAAATCGAACCACAGATCTATTGTTATCAAGACACCCATAAAAACATGATTGTACATTAGTTATAAAAACGTGTTTAAAAAAAACAACAACAATACTAAACATTGAACGTATAAAATATAACTATGTTTATTTTTTATTCTTTGAATAAGTATTTTTGTTTTGTTTTTGAAACCAATTACTTCCTAGCTCAGCATCATAGTACATGGTCTTTAACCGGCAAATTCATACTTCATATAATCTATAATCAAATCATATTTTTCTCGATTTTAATTGTGAGAAACAGTGAATGTATATAAAAAAAATTAGATCGCGATCCACGATCTCTGGGATTACGAATATTCAAAATCGATTTTTTACTTTGATTCGTGATTATCGGAGTACTCGGATACTCGCCCCAGCCCTAGGTATGAGCATATAAACATTATTTAACCCCACAACATGGTCACTCTCTTTCCATTTTCGTTGCTGATACTATTTAGTTTAAGCAGACGCGAGTGTAGCATCTGAACAACAAACTGTGATTGTATCTAATGATAAAATCAACGATTTGGATATATTATTTCGATTCTAACACAACATTTACAAACAAATGCTGCCGTACCCGATGTGAAGATAATTTGTGCCTGATTTGTTTCCGTACTTATTTTCAGCATGTCACATTTTTAGTGGTTATGTCACATATCTAATGGGTACATCACATGTCTGCAGGGCTTCCACTAAGTTCCAAAATTTGGAAATCAGTGACAACAATATCTTTAAATTTGGAAGTCACACTATATAGATAAAGAAGAATAAGAATGACATTTTGGAGGTCACAAGCCAAATTTAAGGAGTAACTGACTCCCAGACTTCCATTAACGGAAGCCCTGTGTCTAAATATAGAACGTCAACAGTGATTTTATTGTATAATAACACACACTTTCTGTCCTATGTTCAATAGGGAAAATGCGGGTCATGTTAGAACAATAGGTAATACACAGGAATAGCTAGCTAATGTACAAATATTGATACCATATATTAGTTCCTTTGATAGTATACAGGAAGTTCGATTGCACAGCAATAAGTAATTTACAAAAATTCATTGACTTTGATTTCTGAGATTAAACTTGAATAATCATAAGAATATTCACTTTTCTGAATTGTCACATTAGTGGGATGTTTCTACTAGGTTCTTTTATTTTCATATTTGTTCTCTGACAGTATTTATGAACATTTAAGGATTGAAAAGAAATAAAGAGATTCATTGTAAGTATTTCTGAAATCATTTATTATCTGTTTTATTACAGGTGCCAAAATTTCTCCAGAAGTCATTTTAATCTCAGACTCGACAGCTTCTTCGGGTACGGGTAAAGTGACATCCGTCAATGTTCCGCTGGCACATATTTCTGGGACCCCACTTCCAGTGCAGCAAATGAACAGCCTGCTCGCACCACAGGGCTCTGGTGTCACCTCCCAGCAAGTGTACAAGTTTGTCAGCCTTCCCTCCAATATGCCAGCTAACATCTTAACCAATCAATGGACGCTTAAACCAGTACTTGCTGGAGTGGTATGTACTTATTATATTCCAGCAGATACTAAGGGCACTGAACAATACTTACAAACTATGTTGCATACTTTGAGGAATTGCAGTTTAATATCTTTAAACTTATAAACCATGTCGCATACTTTGAGAAATTGCAGCAATATCTTTTAAGCAAAACTAACAAATGATTACATGTCAGGTTTATACATTTCACACCAATTACCCATAATAAGTCCTTACAGACTCAAAAAAGGGGCATAAATGGGTCATTCGGGGTCAAAATAAGTTCACACTGCCCTAATACACATGTAACTTGTAAGCACTTTAGATGGTACATTTTCAGTCCAGATATCCTGAAATTGGTCAGGAATGTTGTTTTGTTGATTGCTTCCTCGAGGCCCTTTTGTCATCTGGTCACAGAGCCCAAATATGTAAAAACATGGTTAATACTATTCAGGTAGCATTTTTTAGTCCAAATATCCTGGATATTTGTCAGGAAGGTTGTTTAGATGATGTCAAGCTCAATATTTAGTATTATATCTCAATAACTATTAAAGATATTTATTTAAAACTTCACATATGCATTTAGGGTCATAATTGTAGGTCACTGACAAAGATCCATAATTCTATCTTGCATTTAGGCTGATTTTTCTCCCCTTTTTCAAATTAGAAATTCATGGTAAAGTTTTGCTTGTAAGCTGTTATCTCTATAATTACTGAAGGGTTTGTGCCTTTTTTGGGACAATTATATGCATTCATAATAATAAAGCAGTGATTTACTTGATAAAACATCTTAATAACAAGCCTTTGTACCTTTTCTGTCAATTTTATGTATTCATAGGTAATTAGTATTATTATACTCAATAAAACACCCTTGTGACATTACCTTCCGAATAGTCAAGCCAATACTGTATAATTAGACTGTCTCTAAGGCCTATAACATGAATTTATAAAAAAAAATTAGCCCTTTTGTGAACTTAGAAAATTTAACATTATCAAAGCTCTAAATTTTACGTTATCAAGGCTCTTTTACTATCAAGCACTTAGAATAGTCCAGCGTGCTGTCCTACCGACAGCTCTTGTTTTTTTGAAACTTGATTCATCTGGGGTAGCAAACTAGGCCACCGAGCCCAAATATGGAAAAAACCTTTACACTTTATATGTAACATTGTCAGCCCATATATCCTAGAAATGTGTCGGCAAGGTTGTTAATAGAAATGTATGGGGTCAAATAGGGTCAAAATCTAGGTGACACAGCCCAAAATTTAATATGGAAATTAGAGCGAGAAACTTTGTTTATATTTGCACCATTTCATATGCAGATATGAATGCTTATTGTTATGATATCAGTTTAAGGCATTCTATCTGCTTTTCATTTATATTTAACACTTAATTTTTCCTTGTCATTAAGACCATATATAATTAAAAAGACCATAAAAAAGTCCTTTAAAGTCATTAACTTGAGTTACTTGAAAGTCATTGACTTTGGTTACTCTTTTTAAAAAGTGCTTGAAAAGTTGTCCACTTTGTCCGGAAATGTGGTTGAAAGCAGAGTGCATGGTAAAAAATTGATTGTTTTCAACAAATGAGCCAATTCTGTAATAAAATCAATGAAAATGTTTCCTCATGGTTACATGCTTAGCCATATTGAAAAATACCACACAATTATCAGTAGTCGATATAAAGTCCTCTGTGTTTGTATCATTATAACTGTTGTTGATAGCATTGGTAACAAGTGATATATGTATATGTGCATCAAAAAGTGCTTGAAAAGTGGTAAAACATGCTCTAAAAGCGCATAAAGAGTGCTTCAATTTCATGAAGCCTGCATCAGGAATTTCATTTATTTCCATCAAGATTTTACTAAAGGAACAGCTTGGTTTTCAAATTTTCCTCCACATTTTGAAATGCTATCTCAATACTTGATTTAACATTTTTCTACCTATATTGTAATAAAGTTTCAGTTAAGTGTTTTTGTTATTGTAAAAATTTGAATAATGGTCTTTATGTGTATAGTTTTTATATTCATTGCCATGTGGTCTTTATGCAAAGAGTTTTTCATGTTCAATGCCATGAGGTCTTTATGTGAAGAGTTTTATATTCATTGCCATGTGGTCTTTATTTAAAGAGTGTTTCATGTTCGTTGCCATGTGGTCTTTATGTGAAGAGTTTTATATTCATTGCCATGTGGTCTTTATGTAAAGAGTTTTATATTCATTGCCATGTGGTCTTTATGTGAAGAGTTTTATATTCATTGCCACGTGGTCTTTATGCAAAGAGTTTTTCATGTTCTATGCCATGAGGTCTTTATGTGAAGAGTTTTATATTCATTGCCATGTGGTCTTTATGTAAAGAGTGTTTCATGTTCATTGCCATGTGGTCTTTATGTGAAGTTTTATATTCATTGCCATGAGGTCTTTATGTAAAGAGTTTTATATTCATTGCCACATGGTCTTTATGCAAAGAGTTTTTCATGTTCTATACCATGAGGTCTTTATGTGAAGAGTTTTATATTCATTGCCACATGGTCTTTATGCAAAGAGTTTTTCATGTTCTATGCCATGAGGTCTTTATGTGAAGAGTTTTATATTCATTGCCATGTGGTCTTTATGTAAAGAGTGTTTCATGTTCATTGCCATGTGGTCTTTATGTGAAGTTTTATATTCATTGCCATGTGGTCTTTATGTAAAGAGTGTTTCATGTTCATTGCCATGTAGTCTTTATGTGAAGAGTTTTATATTCATTGCCATGAGGTCTTTATGTAAAGAGTGTTTCATGTTCATTGCCATGTGGTCTTTATGTGAAGTTTTATATTCATTGCCATGTGGTCTTTATGCAATGAGTTTTATGTTCATTGCCATGAGGTCTTTATGTAAAGAGTGTTTCATGTTCATTGCCATGAGGTCTTTATGTGAAGAGTTTTATATTCATTGCCATGTGGTCTTTATGTAAAGAGTGTTTCATGTTCATTGCCATGTGGTCTTTATGTGAAGTTTTATATTCATTGCCATGTGGTCTTTATGCAATGAGTTTTATGTTCATTGCCATGAGGTCTTTATGTAAAGAGTGTTTCATGTTCATTGCCATGTGGTCTTTATGTGAAGAGTTTTTATATTCATTGCCATGCCGTCTTTATGTGAAGAGTTTTATATTCATTGCCATGTGGTCTTTATGTAAAGAGTTTTATATTCATTGCCACGTGGTCTTTATGCAAAGAGTTTTTAACCAGGTTTTCCGAAGGAAAAAACTGGTTATTAGATTGAGGTATGTCGGCGGGCGGGCGGGCGGATGGGCGGACGGGCGGGCGTAAACAATTTCTTCTGTGCGCAACTCCTCCTACATTTCTCAACGGATTTTGACCAAACTTTCACAGAAGCTTTGTCATCAAGTGCCCTGGCGCATATTGTCGGGGTTTTGCGATTAGATAATATTTGACCTAATTATGGCCCTTTGTTTTTTTTTCCTTATATAAAATATATAGTGAACAATTTCTTCTGTGCGCAACTCCTCCTACATTTCTCAACGGATTTTGACCTAACTTTCTCAGAAGCTTTGTCATCAAGTGCCCTGTCACATATTGCCAGGGTTTTGCAATTGGTATATATTTGACCTAATTATGGCCCTTTGTTTTTTTTCCTTATATAGAATATATAGAGAACAATTTCTTCTGTGCACAACTCCTCCTACATTTCTCAATGGATTTTGACCAAACTTTCTTAGAAGCTTTGTTATCAAGTGCCTGGCACATATTGTCAGGGTTTTGTGATTGGATAATATTTGACTGAATTATGGCCCTTTGTATATTTTTTCCTTATACAGAATATATAGAGAACAATTTCTTCTGTGCTCAACTCCTCCTACATTTCTCAACGGATTTTGACCAAACTTTCTTAGAAGCTTTGTTATCAAGTGCCTGGCACATATTGTCGGGGTTTTGTGATTGGATAATATTTGACCGAATTATGGCCCTTTGTATATTTTTTTCCTTATACAGAATATATAGTGAACAATTTTTACAGTGCGCAACTTCTCCTACATTTCTCAATGGATTTTGACCAAACTTTCACAGAAGCTTTGTCATCAAGTGCCCTGGCGCTCACTAAATTCCCATGTTTCTTCCAAGACATCATTCAAGTATTTTTTTAAATTGTGAACATACTTTTCTTGATATCGCACAAAACACCACACGCCAATATTGTTGACGAAAGAAAATGACAAGAGACGCAAAAATGCAAAAATAAAGCAAAAATAAAGTACTGTTTACCTTTCTAAAATATTTGGGGAAAAAAGGCGAATAGACAACATAAAATTTCTCAATCATTTTTGTTTGAGGAATATTAAAAAAGCCATAATTCCTCCTAAAAGTTCAATTAAAAACAAATGCCCCTTCATGACAAAGCTTCTGTGAAATATTTTGCTGAAAACCTGGTTGCATCGCATTGCGATGTTCCTTGTTCATGTTCTATGCCATGAGGTCTTTATGTGAAGAGTTTTATATTCATTGCCATGTGGTCTTTATGTAAAGAGTGTTTCATGTTCATTGCCATGTGGTCTTTATGTGAAGTTTTATATTCATTGCCATGTGGTCTTTATGTGAAGAGTTTTTCATGTTCATTGCCATGTGGTCTTTATGTAAAGAGTTTTATATTCATTGCCATGTGGTCTTTATGCAAAGAGTTTTTCATGTTCAATGCCATGAGGTCTTCATGTGAAGAGTTTTATATTCATTGCCATGTGGTCTTTATGTAAAGAGTGTTTCATGTTCATTGCCATGTAGTCTTTATGTGAAGAGTTTTATATTCATTGCCATGAGGTCTTTATGTGAAGAGTTTTATATTCATTGCCATGTGGTCTTTATGTAAAGAGTGTTTCATGTTCATTGCCATGTGGTCTTTATGTGAAGAGTTTTTATATTCATTGCCATGCCGTCTTTATGTGAAGATTTATTCATATTTATTTCTATTTATTACCAGGCCCAACAACAGATGACATTGGTCTCCCCAACTTCACGTGCCATCACAAATGTTGCACAAATAGCAGCAGCCAAGCTGAGTCAAGACCAAATGCCTGCACCAAGATCCACAGGTGACTTGTTTTATATAATCACTGTATAAATTATGTTCCTGAGTAAGGGCTTGGGGAGGAGGTTATCTTATGTTATGACAGAAAGACTAGGGGCCCTCACCGCTGTGGGTTCGAATCCCGACAGGTACTTTGGATTCTTTCATGTGAGGAAGCTATCCAGCTAGCTAACTGAACGTTGGTGGTTCTACTCAGGTGCCAGTTTATGCCTGAAATAATGCACGAAAGGGCACCCGAGGTCTTCCTCCACCAGTAAAGCTGGAACATCGCCATATGACCTATACTGTGTCAACTGCACAACACTTTGGTTGTATTTACACTTAGAACTTTGTCTGTGACATAACTCTTACACTACAAGAGGTATACCTTCCTGTGTCCAAAACCTATTCGGAGAGCATCACCCGGTTCAACCGGCTCTTGTTGACCCATTTTAGGTGAAATATTCAAAGAATAAGGAGAGCTATTGTACTTGGTGCTGGCCTGGTGTCAGCTTCACACTTTGGTGAAGATTTTGCATGTAAGATGGTATCTACAAAAGTACTAAAGTGAAAAGGTTGAAACTTCACACACTTAGTTGGGAGAATTATAAGAGGTCACTGACAATGGCCCATAACTCATGCATGGATTTTGACAGAACTATCGCCTATTTATCGCCCTTTTTAAACTATGAAAAGTCTACATTATCTTCTGTCTTGTTTTACTATCAAGCACTGAGAATAGTTGAACATGCTGTCCCACTAACAGCTCTTGTCTTATTCAATAATTATCAATTATTGATTACTAATCGAATTGATAAATTAGTAGTTGTTGTTCAAATCCAATGTAAAATATCTTTGTGAAATGAGAGATGTCAGATGACAGTATAGTTTAACTATCTTTATGATGTAATCATGACTGCTTTAAAGGCCCATTATGCCTCAGAAATGCTTTTATTTTTATTTCACCGAAAGCTTTTTAGTTTCCAAAAAGTTACTCATAGGCAAATTACCTGATCCAATTTTGCCTCTGTTGCTTATTGAGAATTAGTACGGCAATAGTGATTTATATTTTTAGCTCGACTATTCGATAAGAATAAGTAGAGCTATTGCAGTCACCCGAGCGTCGGCGTCGGCATCGGCGTCGGCGTAACCACTTATGTTAAAGTTTTTGTAATAGTTCAAATATTTTCAAAGTCCATTGACATATGGCTTTGAAACTTTGCACACTTGTTCACCATCATGACCCCAACCTGTAGACAGGAGGAGGTAACTCTATCAAGCATTTTGACAGAATTATGCCCCTTTTTCGACTAAGAATTTACGTTAAAGTTTTTGTAATAGTTCAAATATTTTCAAAGTCCATTGACATATGGCTTTGAAACTATGCACACTTGTTCAACATCATGACCCCAACCTGTAAACAGGAGGAGGTAACTCTATCAAGCATTTTGACAGACTTATGCCCCTTTTTAGAATTTATGTTTAAGTTTTTGTAATAGTTCAAATATTTTCAAAGTCCATTGACATATGGCTTTGAAACTTTACACACTTGTTCACCATCATGACCCCAACCTGTAAACAGGAGGAGGTAACTGTATCAAGCATTTTTTTTACTATCAAGCACTAAGAATAGTCGAGTGTTGCTGTCCTACTGACAGCTCTTGTTTATGGAAGTCAATATACTACTTTGTTTACATTCTGTTACTTTAATGGCAGATAATTTTACATTCGTCGCTACTTTAAACAGTGGTAAGCATTTTACCATGCTTTTAAATGTTATAAAACTCATGTTTGCCCTTTGAAAAAAATGAAAAAATATTCATTTTCAAAGGCATGATGTACTTTTGATATTGTGCCATGTCCAAATATTGTAAAGTTTGTTAGATCAGCTCTCTAGGTAGAGCATCTTATTAGTAAACCAGGGGTCAATGGTTGATCCTTTTGCGTGACAAAATTTCTTCATTATAAGTATTTTTGATTATTGTGTTTTATAGTCATTTGTCTCTTATCCCTAATTTATAAGTCCTGTGGGATATAGTAATTGGTCACTTGTGGAGAAAGTGGTTATTACTTGTTAGCTATCCAGGAAAGTCATTTAGGAAGATCAAAGGCTGAGATATGGTCAAAACTTTTATAATTCAATGTAAAAAGAAATCAGGAAAACAGTGGTAATGAAAAAAAACTTAAAAAGTTAATTTTCTGTTTATCAGGTGATCATTCCATTTATAGATAAGAATGTTTTTTTTTCTCAAAATAATATTGATCTCAATTCATTTTAAGATATTAAAGAATGTTGTTTTAAAACAATATTTATGCAATAGTTCTCTTAAACTTGTATTAAAGAGGTGTTCAATAATGAATATATTTGTAGTGGTTGATTACTGATTTTTGACAGGTTGAATTTGTCATGTAATTTCTTTGAAACTGTTTCTTTCCAAACCAGCTCAAATTCAAGCAAATAATGCTTCTATGAAAAGCACCATAGAAATGTAAAATTATGCAGTATTATCTGAAAAAGATAAAATGTTCAAAATGTTCTAGCACCAAAATTTCAGTTTGGAAAGTTATGGGTTATTGCAAACAAAGGAAAAAAACAGTCTATGATGAGTTTTAACTTAGCTTAACTTTGAAGCTGATCTTACCAAAAAAAAGTTGAAGTTTAAGTTGATCGATACTTGAATATTTGTTAGACTAACAATCACTATTGTGAAAAATCCAATCTGCACAAAGATTTTGTCCCTGTCAATGTGCACAAAGATTTCCCCTTGTCAATCTGTCTTGCTGTCACACTGTCTTTCCATAAACAGAACACCCCAAATCCCCTTCCCCCAAAAAACATGAACAACAACAACAAAAAAACCCAGTCCAAATGTCAAAGCTGCAGAATATTGGGGAATACCTCTTCTAAGGATACATTTTTAGTTTTTTTACTTTTTTAGCAAGGACATTTACTGTTTGTCATGGAAAATTTTTATCAGTTTTGCATTCATTATTGTCCAGCCAAAGCAGTTTTAAATTAAGGATATTTAAAAGTTATTTGAGCCGCGTCACGACAAAACCAACATAATGGGTTTGCGGCACCAGCCTGCGCATCCACGCAGTCTGATCAGGATCCATACTGTTCGCTATCAGTTTCTCGTCTTGTAATATGGTTGGCAAGTGAACTGCATAGATCCTGATCAGACTGCGTTGATGCGCAGGCTGGTCTGGATCCATGCTGGTTGCAAACCCATTATGTTGGTTTTGTTGTGACGCGGCTCATTTGTGTAAGATTTAATGTGACAAACAGCTGTTAATAATACAAAACCAAATCACGTCTCAAAAGTATTGTTAAAGTCCATGATAATTATGTCAGGCCTTTTTGACAGGATGGTGAAGTAGCCCAACCCTGTAATTTTGGATAAGATTTATATGGTATATTTCTGAAAAGGGGAAGAAAAAAAGCTTGATGTGGATTCTTTTTTTTTTTTGAAAATTGTATGATTTTAAAGAGTATTACTTTGGGGAAGGTACCCTTGAATGACCCCTGTTGAAACCCTTTCTGCTCAGTTGCTTTCTTTGATTAAAAGTTAAAGATTAATTAGCTCATGTTTATATAGTAATTATAGGATAGCGTGTTGTAAATGTATGTTCCAGACATAATAAATATCCATATATTTAGGGCTGAGAAGAATTGTGCAAGGAGATTATAGTCTGTTTTACATACACTCTTCATTTTGTAACAAAAAAAGTGGTAAAAAAGGGGGTTTGAAAAAAAAACACTAGAAGAGGGGACATTCTTTTCAGCCCTCAAATTATTGGGTAAAAAATTGATTTTTTTTTTTGAATTTTCTGTATTAGATCATATTTGGAATATGTGTATGTAATCTCACTGTGCACAATTCTTCTCGTTACAGGGGAGGAGTTTAATAAAGCGATTGGAGGTTATTTACTACAAGGGCAGGGCAGTCCTCAAGGCAGCACTCTGATACACAACACTTACCTCAGTAGCCCTGAAGGAAGTAATTCCAAGAACAATTCTCATTTGCTCACAGATACATGTCGACATGAAAAGACAATACAATTTAAGAAGCGTAGGAGAAAGTTTTGTGTCATTTCTAAAGCATATTCATGGAAAGTTGGAACACATTGTTTAAGAATTTCAAAATTGCTGGGTGTATGCAAAGCAAAGCAACTTTATGGTAACCCTCAGGTTTCATTGGATAGTATGTACTCGAAATTCAAATGCTGGTTCAGAAAAAGAAAAATTAAAGCAAAAGGAAAAAAATCCAAGAAATCATCCCAAAGCTCAAGAAAAATAGATGGGAATGATTTGGAATCAAGCTGTGCTCTTGAAATACGTAAAAATATTCTGACAATCAACTGTGATAAACTAAGTCATTCTGGTCAAGAATCAGGAGAATTCACACATATAACAAAAGGTAGAAACAATTTAAATGATGAATCATTCAATGAGGGACAAACACCTAAAACTTGTGATAATTTTGTTAAAACTGGTTGCATTGCTAGACAGAACAGTGCATATGGGGAGGAATTAAAAATTGACAATGTATGTCAAGATCTGTATGGAAAGACTGGTGAATTTATGAACAGTTGCAAATCTGTTGTGGAAAAAGATGATGACTGTTTTAGTACTGCCCCAGTGACAAGAAACTTGCAATTTTGCCAAGAGGACAAGTTCGAATTTGAGTTTCCATGTTTAAAGTATTTGGAAGAACAAACTGTTCCAAGAATAAAGATAAGTGCCTCCAAAACTAAGTGCAATGAAGTGTCTAAGGATGTAAAGAAATGTTCACAATATAAAGCAAATAGGAAGCTGGCCTCTGAACCTTTGACTGGTGACAATTGTGATTTTATGACATATAATTGTCAGGATAATAATTGCAAGGATAATTTTACAGGAATTTCTGATTTGAACGTCGAGGTAGTCAGAACTCCATTGGCTGAATTGAGTAATGCTAATAATATTGGGCATAACAAAGCTCTTTGGGAAATACCAATCCATGAATTAAAAATTAGAAGAAATCATGATAAAAATAATTCTAAATTCTTCAATGACACTGCAGAAATAAGAAGATCAGATAAAGAAAACCTGAGTGAATTAACAAAAGTGAAATGTACAAAGTCTAACAAAGAGAAAATTAAAGGGAAAGGAAAAGCGAAGTCGTTCCATAGGCTCTATGAAACTCTGTTAGAGAATTACATACCAAGACAGTTTGGAATTGTCAATATGGTTTACGAAAGTGCTAGATTCATGACCTGTGATACAGACAACCTTACTATGAGGACATCAGATGATTGTCCAACAGTTTCTGATGGCCAGCTAAGTGATATAACAAACATTGCTTGTGGTAACCTTAGAGATACTGAATTAGTTGGTGTGCAAGGCAATAATGGAAATCCCAATTCAAATGAAACAAGGGAAAGTAATGAGTCAGATCTGCAAGTTCAAAGATGTTTGAACAGACTTGTTGATCAAGTTGTCATGAAGGACAAGAAGCAAACAGAAGGTATCAATCTGGAAAATGTTGAACAATGTAACAAGAATAAAACTAAAACAAAAGACTGTTTTGATAAAGTTAGAAAAGTTGACATTCCAGAAAGTACTAACAGTTTATCAACTTGTACTCCTTTGCCTGATTGGTCTACTGAAAAATTACCATTGAGTGAAGACTTTGACATCCGTATTTCAGCTTTAGGTAGTGACAATTATGATGGAGGCCTTTCATTGTCAAGTGAACAACTGCAGATTAATTCTGATGATGGATGTTCAAAATCAAATGTGGTAGTTTGCAGTGATAGTGATAATGAACTTACTCAAAATGATGAAATAGGTAATGATTCAGACATTATAAAGAGAAAATGGTATGAAAATATTACTGTTACAGATGAACTGTACATTTTATTGCTTTGTAATCAGTTTGGTTTCACTAAAATTTCAAAAGATCTTCAGGTACCTAAAACAGAGTTATTGAAATTAAGACGATCTTTAAGAAAATCTAAACACTTGCATAGCAAGGTTTCATCTCTGAATGTTGATATTACTGATCCAATGAAACACAACTTTCATGGAGATGCATCTTGGAAGCTAGGAAAAGATTTAAGTTCTGGTGAAGATTCTGTATTAAAAAAGTGCTATCCATGTCTGTATGAAACAGCTCGAACTTTGTTCAAGAAAAGATCGGAAGACATTGAGGAGTTAAGCAAACAGGAATGTAATGAGACTGAACTTGATGCTGCCAGTCAAGTAACAGTTAATGATAATGTGAGGACTAATGTAGAACATGATGGTGATGCTGACAATGTGTCTACTTTATGTTTTGAAAAACCTCCATTTGAAGGTAAAGGACAATCATACCTTAAAGAAAAAGTTAGTACTGAAAACAAATATAGAAATAGCAGAGAACAAGTTCATAATAACACGGTAGAAAAGTTGTTAAATACTCATAATGTAGTGGGAAATAATAGCGCAGAAATTGATTCAGATAGTGAATCTGGGGATTTGGTAATAGACTTAGATGGTTTTGAAGGTAAAGATTTTGAAGATGAAAATAGAATGCACAGGAAAGATAGGACTGAGTTTTCAGGCACTGACGGGAAACACTGTGACGTAAAAGTAACAGGCTTAATAGAATCTGATACGCAAAATGATAAAGATAGTAAAAAAGAAAGTGAACATTCATGCTGCTCAGAAAACTGTTCAAAAAGAGAAGAAAGTAAAAAGTGTGATGGATGTGCTGTTCTGATGCACAGTGATGAAGAAGATAGTAACAGATCACAATTAGAAAATGAGACACTAGGTATTGGATGTGAAAGGAATGGAAAGAGCGATGAGGCAGATGTTTTAGAGTATATTAATGATGATCACTGTTATAGAAAAGTATTAAATGAAACTGCTGATACCTGCAATTTAAACAGAACTCTATCAGTTGAACCAGAAGTCATACAGATTGAAGATGATGATATTACAGATGATTCTGTACATGTACCTTTAAATGATTGCCTTACATATCCAGATGGTGCATTTCAGTTATTTGATGGAAAAATTCTCTCAGTTTTTCGTGCAGTTTCTAAAGCTAAACTTGATGAAATCTCAAGGCATCTTGCAAAATTTGGTTTGAAGTCGACTGCTTTGAGATATAAAATGCCAGAGGAGCATATACAGATCCTACAATATCACACTTTGTCATGCACTAAAAGTAAAAAAGTCAATACAATTCTGCAGCTGAAAGATGGAATACCAAATAGCTATGAATCTTCAAATCATGTAAATGAATTAACAAGTAAGATTTTCCCTGAGGTGATTTCGTTTGACAACACCAGTTCATTTGTAAGACATCCTGTTTCAAGTAATGAGATGCCAATAAGAAAAGATAGTGCCAAAAGATTAAAAAACTATTTGAGAGAAAGGTCTATGAGAGAAATGAACTCAATATATCATAACATACCTATAGACTTACCACAAGGCCATACACTTGTAGTTGAAAGTTACCAAAAAAGTGTAAAATTTGATTGCCAAGGAAAACCAGCAACAAACTTGGATACTAGGTATAAGCAAAGCTGTGAAGTTTCTAGAGAACAAACAAAAGTTTGTCCTAAAGACACAGACAACCCTGTCTTTACAAAACATTTTTTAGAGAATTTCACTCAAAACCGTTTATATTCAGCTTTATCTAAAACTCCTAGTAAAGAAAAGATTATGGAAAACCAGGCAGCTTTTGAGCTGATAGACACTCAAAATACTATTAAAACATACAAGTGTAATGGAAAGGATAAGCATAGATACTCACCAGAGCTTCAAAGACAGTTGTTGCTTCTTGCCAGCTCTGTTGGGTTAAAAGCTGTTTCAGAATATTTCAGTATTTCATATGAAACAATGAAACGTTGGAAAGAGAATCTTCGAAAAGCTTTAGAGAAATACACAAAGAGTGATATTGATAAAGATCTTACAAAGCAAAAGCCTGTGATAGAGCATAAAAAGAGGAGGATGAAACTCTCTAGAAATTTGAAGATAAAAATATGCCATTTGTGTTATTCAGAAGGGATTCAAGAAGTATGTGAGCAATACAACATTAGCAGGAATGTGATAAGAAGATGGATGAATGAACTGAAGTTTGAAACTCTACAAAGCTATGAGTTGACTAGTAAAGAGTTGGTTGAGTTGGTTGATTATGGTGAATTCAAGTGCTCACTTTCTAACATAGGGACGTCTAACAACAATGTTTCAAACAAAAAATTGTGCACTGAAGAAAGCATAGACAATGGTGAACAACTGTTGTCATTGAGTCAGAATAAAAAGGGAAAGATCATTAATAGAGAAGGTAAAGAAAGTTCTTGTGTTAAAGTGACAAAGGAAATAGGAGGGGATCAGAGCTTTCAGGTGACATACCCAAATAATATGGAAGTTATCCTTGATATTGGAGATAATGATTCAAACTCGAAGGAGGAGAGTATAATAGAAGATGTTGAAAGTGATGGAGAAGACAACGCTATTGTTGAGACAGAAACAAGTTTGAAAACTACTATGATAAGCAACACAAATGGAAACAGTAACAAAAAAGAGAATGTAAAAGATGATATTTTGAAGGATGATTTTATTGATCAGAATTCTTCATTTATGGAAGCAGTGAGCAAGGAATTACTGTCAAATGATAGTGAAAATGAAGATGTTGTTGAGATTGTGTCATGGGATGTGAGAAATGAACATGACATTGATGGCATCTGTAAAGAACAATCAAATTTGCCAAAAAATGATAAAGCAAATAAAGAGGTTGGTGTATTTCTGGAAAATGGTAATGCCATAAAACTCTGTAAGCAGCAAGGCTTTAGTCTGGAGGAAACAAACACCATTGGTATGGTTACTGCTGTCAAAGAGAATACAAGTAAAGCTTTTTCAGATAAAAAACTACTAGATAAAAGCTCATCATTGCATAGAAATGATGCCGACAAAGATAAAAAATTTAACACGGAGTCATCTATTGCTGATAAGAATAATGATACACCAAATGTCACAGTGGAAAAAAACCATAATAAATCAAGCTGTGAACAGGTGAAGCAAAGTACATGTAGTGAAGTTTCAAATGATCAGAATAAAGATCCTGATAATCATGATTCCACTTTAGATTGCAATGTTCAATTCTCACATGCTAATAAGATTTTGAATAGCTGCTCTGAAGTTATGACTGAACAATCAAAAGATTATGATGTAGATGTTTTGAAAATCAACTTGGATGGCTATGATAATGGTGAAATAATTGCAGGAAAAGATAGGAACAGTTCTTGTCTTCAAGAACCCCAGTTGCAAATTACCTGTCCTGTAGATATAAAAGATGAACCATTTGATGAAGAATTTGATCGCATTGAATATGGAGAAAATGCTAAAAAGAAGGTGATAGACACTAAAAGGGCTGAGAACACTCGGAAAGATTATAATCATGATAGAGCAAATACATCTGGGATTGATTTTAAATGTGATGATTTTGCAAATAGGGATACAACTGACAAAGGAGCTAAAGGTACAGACTTTATAGAAAGTGAAATTAATAAACTCGGAACAGGAGATGGGGATTCTAGCAAATCTGAAGGATACACTTTTCAGACCAATTCTGGCAATAGCAGCACTAGATCAGAAGGTGCAGGACAATCTACTGCTCCTGGAAATGCATCTAATATTGATTTGAATATAAATAGTTTGTCTACTGAAAATGTTCAGATTGTTGGTACACAGGATTTAATTCCTGGTCAAGAATATATTCTTGTAGATCCAAGAATGTTTAACTCTGTATCAAATTCCTTGCAAAGTCTCACACCACCCACTTTAATCAGACCTCGTTTGAACACTGTTAATTCTGGAAGGCAAAGGGTACAAGTTAGTGGTTTGGTTCCCTCTGTACTTAAGGCTGGTGAAAAACCAACGCCAGTTCATATAGTTGAAAATAGAAGTTTACAGATAGGCACACCAGCAAGTACACCTGTTGGTTCTATTAGTCCACTTCAGGGTAACATGCCACGACCTAGCCTAACTTTATTTGGTCAGCAGAACCGGTCAAGTGTTTCACCTAATGTAAGAAAAGGAAGTAATACAGTAAGGAGCTTACTTACAGGAATGCAGGCATCAACAAGAGTAGTTAGTAGCAATGTTACCCATATGAACTATGTATCAGACCAAAGCCTTAAAAATAGTGAAAGAAAACCCCTTCAACCTGTTTTGAAATTTGGGAAAATTGTGGTTTTTTCCCCCCAAAACTTAAGTAAAAATTTCCATTTAAACCCCAAAGGGTAATTTGTCATACAGGGACCCCAAATTTTCCCAGGACAGGGCCCCAAATCCAACCCCCCCCAATTTCCCTTTGGGGCCAAGAATTTTTCCAGATCAAACAAACTTCTTTTTCGAATGCAGGGAAAGCTGAGAATAATATGTCATACACATTACAAGGGATAGGATCAATTTCAAATACTGCCCTAGGACAGGAAAAAGCAACCACGTTAAGTACTTCTTTGCCGAATGAACCAAGTACATCAGCAGAAATCGGAAAAGTACCGGAATTCAAGGAACAAGACAAACCACGGCTGCATGAGCAATTTTCCAAATATATACCAAATACTGACATGCTTGTTGAAAAAGAACGTAAACTCTTGCAAGCTTTATTACTTCAGAAAACAAGTAAGAAAGAGCTCTCTACAAAGTCTGACAGCTCTTCAAAGATCCAAGAATCAAAACCGTCTGAAATACCAAGTCATGTACAGAGTGGCAATAGAATTGGTTCACTAATTCAGAAAATGGCGAACAGGGTGCAGAAAGGTTCTGATGAGGTGAAATTAGATCTTCCTGTTATTGGTACTGACAACCCTGCAAGAAACGAAGTGTCAAAGCCTGCTTCAGCATCCCAGATTTTGTTTGGTGAGCATGCTAGTCCTAAAAAGAAAGAAACTGAAAAGGATTCAGTGCTGAAATACCATTCTGTGAAGTCGTTACTTTTCGATGCTAGACCAGGAAATTTAACAAGTAGTTCGAAGAAAGATTTGAGAAAATCACCATTAGTTGTGCGAGAAATAGAATCCGCTGAGGATGAATCTAGTACCAGTAGTGGTACAAGTGAAAGTACTTGTTCTGTTGAAACAGATTCAAACATTGAAGAGCATGAGCATGCAGAGGGTAGAATAGAACATGTAGATCTAAGTGCAAAATTAAAGTCTTTATTAAGTGCAGATATTTTCAATGTTATTGAATCAGAGAAAGGAAATAATACAGAAGACGATGATTTAATTGAAATTCTTGCACAGCCTTCTGACAGTAGTCGAGATGTTGATAAGGACTCAAAAAATAAGCCTGTTGGTCCTGTTAAAATGACTCAAAAGGATGAAAATGAATTTGGAACAAAAGCACCTTTGAAAAAGGGTGGTATAAATTATTCTTTGAATATTAAAAAGAAACTCGGCAAATTAGCATCTATGTTTAGTACAGTGAGCTTACATAAAAAGTATGGAATCAATCCTCAAACTTTGTCAAAGTGGAAAGCTAAATATCAGGATGAGAGTATTGCAGGACTTGAGTTGACTGAAGAGGAATTAAAGGAGCTGGAAGAGGTCAATAGTATTAAAAAGGCTATGTATGGATCAAATGCACAAGAATATGACATCTATGTAGATAACCCAGAGGAAGATGAGGTAGATAGTGACACAAAGAAGAAAAAGTTTGGAGAAGAAAACCTAAATAAAGATAAACTGGAGACGAGACATGTGCTTAAAGCTGAAGAAAAGAAAGGCCAAGGAAATCAGCTTGTGGCAATTGGAAATTTGGAAAAGACTCCCTTACCAGCAAGATTAAGTGTGGGAACGCCTGAAAAAACTAATCAAGGCAAGGTGAAAGTGGGAACCCCATTGTACATAACCTTAGATGAGGATGCTTCTGATGAAATGAAACAACAGTTAAGAAAAAACTTGAAAACACAGAAAACAGTTGAGCATGCATGGTCCAATGGGGCATTTTTAGAATCCTCAAAAAGTTCTTTTTCTAGTGTCTTTGGAACAGACAAAACAGAAGAAACTCAAAGGATAGTACCACCAGTCTCTAAATCTAAAGCTCTTTCAATGCCTAATGACACTTCAATCTCAACAGAGAAAGATAATGCAGATACGAGGACCAGAGAGAATGACCAAAGAAGGAATACATTAAGCAGGATGCTTGATGGAAAGACTGCAGAGTCTGATAATGTTATTTGGGAAAAAACAGTATACTTATGTCCTGATGAAGGTATCTTTAAGTATAGATATGAAAAGAGAATCACTGGAGAATCTCCAAAATCATCAAATGAAAATCAAACTTTTTCCGTGTTAGATAACCTTTTTAGAAGCTCAGATAGATGTGAGACGTCTACAGATGTTCAAGAAGCTGTGGATAAAAACAGTACAATGCAGGATAATGTATCTTCAAGTTCACCATTAATTTCAGATATGCTCAAAGCAACAGCAAAGCAGAAACTAAATACATCACCGGAATTGCTAAAGAAGACCGTAGATAAATCTGTGTTTGATACTGTTGACCGTGATGATGAAAAATATTCTGACAATTTTAAATGGACTGTGGTTAAAGAGGCAAGAAAGTCAGGCTTTGAAAAAACTGCAAAATGGTATAACATCTCTATGACAGATATTATGAAATGGCATGACACTTTTCTTCATGAAAAGAAATCAAAGCCATTGAATACTCAGGTTCAGGCTGATACTATATGTGAGTCTGATTCTACTGTTGTTGACTTGACCAAAGATGTGAACATGGAATTAAACAAAACGGAACCAATTTTGATACCAACTCCAGTTAAAGGGAGACTTGGAACACTAAATGCTAATCTATCATTTGAAAGGATTCAAGTCAAAGAAGGGGCTATCACTAAACCAAGATTCAATTCTAGATCTGATAGTCACATTGCAGCCCCTCAGACACCTGCTGTATCAGTAAGTCCAAGCAGTAGGACTCAAAGGACCCGAATGGGTCCAAACACGATCAAGTATGCAACACCCAAAGTTGATCCAGACCAACTTCAAAAATTTCAAGCAGATGTTCAAGGCGATCTAGGAATCATGCCAAAACTTATGAAGAAGTCAAACTCTAGGGATGGCGTAGAAATAGCTAGTACTTGGAAACAAGTTCAGTCTGTTTTAAAGCCAGAAAAACCAGTAGAAAAGAGATATACACAGGAGTTCAAGCAAAAGATAATTGCAGAATGTGAACGAAAAGGACAAAAAATTGTATCACAGGAAAACAGAATTCCATACAATGAGATATCAAGGTGGAGGCTTGAAGCAAAGAAAAATACATTGTTACCTACACACCAAAAGAGTGCATTCACTAAAACGGATTCTACTAGAAAAGTAGACAGTTCTTTGTCAGCTGCATCCACAATAACCACAAGTTCGAAGAAAAACCTCTCTGAACAAAGTACAAGTCAATCAAGTAAAAAAGAACCACCATCTTCTACTGAACAGGAGTCTTTAAAAATTAAGATCAGGTTGTCAACATTGCCTCAGGCAACACCTACTGTTAGTAAGAAAAAAACATCAGAGCAGTCAAATTTACTTCAAACTAAGGATGTTCCAAAGACAATTGCAGCACATGGTAGTAAAAGGTCAAGTCCTGGTAAAACTGATGTAACTTCCAAAGCGTGTGATAATAACATGGAGCAAAGCAAGAAGAAACAACCGAGTAGTAATAGCAAAATTTCAAATGTTGACAGGTTAGAGCCTGTGACTTTGGATGAAGATATAGATCTTAGAATGGAGGTGATCAATTTTTGCTTTGATCATGGGGTGTTGAAAACACAAAAGAAATATAATGTAACCAGGCAATCAATTATAGATTTGATGAAAGAATATGATGAACTTAGCAAACTTGAAGTTGATAATTATAACAAATCCCATGGGTTTCACACCTTCAAGACAAAGCTTGTTAGTAGAGAAAAGACAAGTGTGGAAGTGACTAACAGGGCTACGCAACCTGTTATTGTAAAGAATCTTAATGATTATATTGTTACTCGGGAATATATGAAAACAGTTGTTGACTATGCATTGAAGCATGGAATAACAGCTGCATCAAGAAAGTATAAAAGAAAAACAAGTACTGTAAGAAGCTGGATGAACCAGTTTCAGAGAGAGGTGAAGAAGAAAATATCTGTAGAACAGGTTGCTAAGGAACAAGAATTGATAGCAAATAATGTTAGTATTGAAGAAGCAAGGAAAATTAGCTCTCAAGAAGCAAGAAAGAAAAAACAACTGTTAGAAGCTGAATTTAGGAGGCATATTGTTGAATTTGCAAGACAATTTGGTATCACAGCGGCTTCTAGGAGGTTTAAGAAGAAGGCAGCTACTGTTAAAAGTTGGATGGGTCATTTTATGAAGTCAGAAAGAGATGCAAAAAGACAAGAAGTGACAGAGATAAGAAAGAAACAAGGTGATGATATTGATTCTGTATCCAGTCTAAAACAGATTCAAAGTTCTTCCTCTCCAAGAAGGTTATCTCATGTTCAAGATTCAACTGTCCAGAAATCACCATCTTCCAGCAGACAAAGAACACCGCCTCATAGTCCAATTTCGCTTTGGGACCAAGACTTTGTTATTAAGCCAACATCAGGAAAAAGTCCTCTAAAACTTACTTTCTCACCAAGACGAAAATCGTCTCCAGTTATTGTAATTGGATCTAGTACAGAGGAAGACACTGTTGATGATGAGACTAATGATATTGAGACTGATGATGAACAAGAACATGCTCCAGGGGAGTATTATGAAGTAGCTGCTTGGAATTTAGACAATTGTGGAAATAAAAGTGAATCAAAAGGGACTAATTCAAGTAAGACCAAAGAATCGGTTCTGGTGAAAGAAGCAGTAGACAATGTTGTTGACCTATTAAGTGATGAAGACTATACTGAAAAGAAAAGTGGCAGTGACCATTCATCAAAAATTCTCAGCCCTAATGATGGTGAAAGAATCCCTGAGAAAACCTTACAAGCTGATACAAGTAAAACCAGTTCTAGTTCAGATGATTCACAGGCAGTGGATGTCAGCGATATATTTGATGTTGAAAATGCCAATATTGTTAGTGAGATAGATAGATTACTTGAATCAAAGAGTGTGAAAGAAAATGAAAAAGATGCAGGACATTTTTCAGAAGTGAAAGATTCAGAAGAGCCTGTTATAATTGATGATGACGGAAATAAAGCAAATACTGAAGAAGAGGTAAAAATGCCTTATGAAGAAACAGTTATGTTTAAGCTTTTGACTGATGAATTAGATAATTTTATGAAAAATGATGCTGTAGCTGTCAAATATAATGTACAAAAGGAGACAGATGTGAGTAAATCTGAAGAAAAGTCGCCACCAGCAAAAGAAACATCCGTTGATAAACCAATGAAAAAGTTTAAGAAGTATGCTGATGCAGAAATCATGCAAAATATTGAGGAAACATACCTGTTCACAGGGGCAAGAGTTACAAGGAATGCTGTTGGCAAAGAACTGAAGATGTGTGATGAAATTATGGAAGAAAAAGATGAAAGGGAAATTGAAACTGAAGAAAAAATTGATGATAATGACTCTAAACTGGAAGTTCTTTCTACTGATACAACTCAAACAAAGGAAATAGAAGACAATTTGCACCTAGATTGCAAAGTTTCTGTATCAGAAAATGTGAATCATGAAAAGAGTTCAGAGTTACCACTGTCTGATACGTTACCAGTGTCTGATAATCAGAAGAAAGGTGAAAGAAGTCTGTTTGATTTTCTTTCAGTTAAACCTGATACTCCAAAAGAAGATACTAAAGAAGTGGTTGTTAGCAATTCTGTTGCTTCATTTGAGAAGAAGGATGAATTAAAATCTCCGTTTAGTTTATTTGGAAATATAATGAAAAGTTTTCAAATGGAACAATCAATTGGTGTGAAAAGTCCAAGTAAAAATGAATGTAAGCCTGACAATTCTGTAGCAAATTCAACAGATTTAAGTAAAGATTCAGAAGGTATTGAAAAAGCTGAAGAACTTGTAAAAGATAGAACTGAGAGAAATCTGTTTGACTTTATTTGTCCTGAGCCAGAAATGTCAAAAACTCCAACGAAATTACCCTCCCCTGAAGTTCAGACATCACCTAGAATGCAGACAAGAAGTCTCTTTAAATCTGGGAAAGCGGTTTCCTTATCACCTCAAAAGTTAAGCCCAGTGAAAATTACACCATTGAAGAAACCTATGTTCAAGTTTCCAAAACTAGCTCTGCCTGTAAATTTTGGTAACATTGCTAAGCTTGGAATGGCAAAGATGAAAGAAGAGGAAAAGGCTAAAGAGGGAAATGAAAATAAAACTAAAGATGATGAACAGAATGAGATAAGTGTTAAAGAATCTGCAGCAAAGGAATCTGACCAGGTTAAATTTGAAACGAAAAAAGAATCTTCTGGAGAAGCAAAAGATGAAATTGTTATGGAGACATTTGAAGAATTACGTCAAAGACTTTCAAAAGAACGAGCAGCTAATAAACTTGAAAAAGAACGAGCAAAAGAAATTTCAGATACGGATGCAATGGAGGTAGATGAAATAGATGGTTCTAGGGAGACAAGTGCTAATACAGCACCCAAAACATCTGTAGAAATAGACAGTGAAATGTATGAAAACTTCACACCACAGAAAATTGTCCTTATATTGGATATTTCTAAAAAGCATGGAGTTGAATTTGCCTCTACATCTTTTGGATTGCCGGTTTCTGTTATTGTGAACTGGATTATAGAGAAAGACAGGAAACAAAGAAAAGTTGCATTGTCTGTAAGTTTAGAAGAAAAATTAAAATCTCTTAAAAATATCAAAGATAGAGAGATTACAAGGGAAGCAGTTAAAGAAAAATACAATGTTGATGATGCTGCTATTCATAAATGGGATAGTGAGATCAGTTGGATGATTGAAGACAAAAATGTTTGTGATATTCTTGAAAAGTGGAAAACTGTTGAAACTGTATCAAATATCAATTTTGAAGAGTGCTCTAAAAATCTTGAAAGAAGAGACTCTGTTGTAGAAAAGGAACTAGTTGAAGATCAGGCTAAATTGTCTGAACAATCTGATGAGAAGGATAATGAGATAAAGAAAAGTAAGGAGGTAAAATCAACTATTGCAAATGATGAAGAAAATCATGATGTTGAAAAGTCTGAAATAAAGATTGCAGCATTACCGGCAAAGAGTGTAGAAGGGGATTCTAAAGGTAGTGATGCCTGTCTGCCACAAGAGAACATTCAAGACAAAAAAAGTGATACAGATCCATCTTTAATCATCGAAGATGAAAGAGTCGAAAAGAAACCTTTAGAAATAGTTGATGATCATACTGGACAATCTGAAATCAATCCTATATCAGAACATGAAGATATTATAATAACAAAGGTGGAAAACCCTGAAGTAGTAACGGTAACTGAGTCCTCTGCTTCTGAGAATGCTCAAGATGTGACTAGTGCCAATAATGATGATGAGAGGGATATACCTGAAATAATTTCATTCGTCAGAACAACTAAGCCTAGAGATTTCACTATAGAACAGAAAGCTATGATTGTGCTTTTGACAGAAAAATACGGGAACTCATTGGTGAATAGGAAGTTTGGTATTAATACAGGTACTATGTATAATTGGAGACATGGAAACAAGCATGTGAGACAGTTTCTATATGAGCAGGGCCATAGTTCTGTGAAAAAGACAGATGTAAGTAGCGATAAAAGCGAAGTGTCAGTTAAAGATAGATTTCCAAATGAGACCCGTTCATTTACAGCTTCTGATTACTTACCTAGTAGAGAGACTCGGAGTAGCAGTGATAAGAAAATTACTGAAGTCTTGAATGACGTTGAGAGAACTGAAGGAATGAAAAAGCAAACTGCCTCAGAACCTCAGCTACCTCCAAAATCTAAACTGCAGGGGAAAGAAGCAGGCAAGGAAAAAGACTTGATAAATCACCCAAAGGGTTACAGAATTATTTCACCTACTAAATTACCTTCAATTTTAAAAGATATCGATATCAAGTCTGTTCAGGCAAAGGACTACACTCTTGAGCAGAGGGTTGCTATAGTAAAACTTGTGCACTTGTATGGTGTGAGAACTATACATAAACAATTCCATATATCTACAACATCTATCTGGAGTTGGCAGAACTGTAAAATTATAAACGAAATGTTGAATGAGGAAGAAGGAGAAAAAAATGAAAGCCTAGGTGCCCAGAGAGAGATTAACTTTGATGTAGATGAAGAGGGACCTATGACAATTGATACTGTACTTGATAGAGTTCTTATTGCAACAGATACATCGAGTCACTTGAACTTTGATACAAACCAAAGGGCCGATATAGTCTGTCTAATAGACCATTTTGGGATTGACTACTTTTGTGAAAAGGTCCCACAAATTCCCAGAGGAACGCTGTGGAATTGGCGGCACAATAAGCAGGTGGTTGCTTTAGCAAAGAACAGAGAAGAAATGATTAAAAGGTATTCAGATAGATTAAATACGTATGAGGCCAATAAAATAAGAGAAAATGTTGTGGGAGAAGCTGTAGATAAAACTGACTTGACTCAGAAATGGTTGAAAGATGTGCAAGATAACATACATGGAAAAAGGAGAGGAGATTCAGAGGAAAGGAGCAAAAGGAAAATGGAGGAAAGTGAGATGCGTAGAAAAAGTTATTCACGGAAAAAACCAAAATTGGGACCAATGTGCTACAAAAGATCTCTCTCCAATGACAGAATTAAACGCAGTCTATCACCTTCAACTGTATGCTCAGAAACGTCTGTGCATTCTGAAGATTTTGAAGAGATCTTCAGTGATGATGAACTGAACACACCTTCTGTTGTGTCTAAAAAGTCGGGTACCAGCTCCCAGACTGCTCAGAGTAGCAAAACCAGTAGAAGTCAGCCGAGAACCAGCAAAGGAAACGCTTCTGGGAAAACTGAAATTGGACAGGTTTCACAGTCTAATGGACTGGTTACTGAAAAGATGGACACAGCTGGTGAACCAGTCCATGAAATTGTAAAGTTTGAATGTGGACAGGATGAAAGAATGATGGTTTGTTACAAAGATTTGGAACCAGCAGAGGGTAAGTACATGGGTGTGAATGATGGGGATTTGAATAAGTGTAACATTTGACAAAGGGACAATTATGTTAAAAATAAATCAGTTTCACTGAATAACTAAGTGTACACATTATTAAGACATTAATCTTAAACTTAACTGTCTGAGGTTAGAGCGAGGTTTCAGGAATTTTAATGAACGAGAAAAAAACAAAAAAACAACTGGCTTATTCTTTACAGATGATTAAAATCTACTATGATAGGGATATTAAAGGGTATTTTCATCAGGATCATAAATTTTTACTGGAGTTTAACACAAACTAATCTGGGTATTTTCATATCTAAATAACATTTATATAAAAGTGTTTAAATTAATTTCCCTATGTTAAAAAGTAATATATAGACCGACTTGTGGATATATGCCTTACTTATCAAATTAGATACTGACGCAGCTGTGAATATAACGTAACAAAGTTTGAGAAAAATGTCATAACTTACTTAGAAATGAAATAAAATAGCAGTCCTTAATATGTAAAAAAAAAATCATGATGAGTCTGTGAAAACAAGGATCTAACAAATATGCTGAGTACTGGCTATTAAAATTGATATTTGTTTGTTAATTGTGCCGATTTTTACAGGTTTCTTTGTCATATTTTGGCTGTCAGATTTTCTTGGATAACAAACCAGTAATAATAAATTTCTCTGCATTGAAGAGACTGACTGACTAATTCCATGTGATATCTGTACCATCTGTGAGAGACAAATGATCGTTTTTTCCCCATGATTTTGGGAACATGAAACATACCCATGGAATTGGGAATTTCAGCCAAGTTTTGTTAATAATTTGGAAAAAAATATATGACAGAAATTTTGCATTGATTAAATGAATGCAAAGAATCACTGTTTAGGATGGCATCTTCAAACATTTATGCACCATAACAGTGAAGAAGTCCTTATTTTCAAAGATTTTAGAATTTGTTATTCAATATTTTTCTTTTGTAACTTTCAAATTGGAATTTTTTTTCCTGTGGATTGGGAAAATTAATATGCTATTTTCAGCTGGGAATATGACCGAATATTGGCTATGAAATAACCCCAAAAAAACTCCCTGAATGACCATTAGTCCAAGATAAAGTCACAGAAAAATTTCACCATGCCATAGGATCAAACCTTAGGCAACTAGATTACAAAAAACAATGCTTAATAAACAATATTTAATATGCTAGGAATAGGAAAAAAACTTTGCTTTTGTTACAGGTTGAAATATCTGGCTCTCTGAATTACTATTTTGCTAAAACTAGGCACAGACTGGTTGTCATGGTTAACATTTACACACTTACTCTAGATATTCTGGTCTGTACTGGCAACCAGTGTTAGATATTCTTATATTCACATGAAGTATATAAGTCTGTGGCTGGATTAGAACTCGATATGTTGAGGTGCTAGTGGTTCAGTGGTCACCCTTATAGGGAACGGTCGGGTACACTTAACTGGGTATTTTTTCAAGTTGTGAAGTGATGTAAATTGGGGAAAAGGAAAAGTTTGATGCATGATGATATCCAAATTTGACTTTTTGTAGTAATTGTGATTCTTGGACACAACTTTGGGATAGTATGCACTTCTTGCTTTGAAAATGAGTGCATTTATAGGAACTGTTAAATCAAGCTAAAGAATGGCTGTAATGGAAAAGTCTGTGACCTTTACTGCAGGAATCAGGATTCTAGATCAGATAAATGTGTATTGTAACACAGCTATGATGCATAATCTCTTTGTTTATAATCTTTTTGTTTATTTTTTAGCGTCCTCAAAACATGTAAAGGCAGATAATCCAAGTCCAACTTTGAAGAGACCATCACCAGCCGATGCATCCACATTGCAGCCGCCTGTAAAGAAGAAAACCCAGGGTACAAAGGCAGCTGAACCCAATGAATTAGGAGGTAAATTCTTGATATATGATATTAAAGGAACTCCACTGAGGTCCGTAAAACAAAACACAAAATTTCAAAACTAACTGTGATCATCTGTGGCAATTAAAACTGAAAAGCTTCTTAAATTTTGTGTATTAGTTGAATAAAGAAGAAAGTAGTCAGTGAAAATACAGAAAATATGTTTTACTGCAGTGAAAAATATCTTTTTACAGTGAAAAAAACACATTTTATTTCATCAATATTTACCATCTCTGTGGTCGAGGGGTTAGAGTCGATGACGTGGGTTTGATCCCTGGGAGATGCTTTGGTAGTTTAGCACATAGGAAGGTAGTCTAGTACTGGTGTAACTCTCCAGGAACGATGGTTAGGAAACTACCTGCCTATATGACTGAAATACTGATGGGAAAAAGGCGTAAAATGAAACAAACACACAAACAAACTCAATATTTCACAATATTTCTCGATATTTCATATAAAAGTATATGATAAAGAAATAGTATGTTATTTTTCAGGGAACTGGGTGCCTTTAGACGAGTACTACTATGGCACACACGAAGGTGATACCTCGTACACCGAGGAGAAAGGAGAATATAGATTTAAGGTAAGTTAATATAATGATTTATGAAATTGAACAATTGTAAATTGTAAAAGATAATAGTAAAAATGTTATATTTTTAGAAAATAAGTATCATTTCAGCTCTGGTATTTTCGTATTAATAAAAAGTAGTATAGATATTGTAATATTTAAAGAGAATTGGTATGATTTCAGTGCTGGTATTTTCGTATTCGTAAAATAATTGGTGAAAATAGTGTAATAAGTAGAAAAATGATATAATTTCAGTGCTGGTATTATAGTAAATGTAAAAAAATTGGTAAAGATAATGTAATATCAACAGAAAATTAGTATGACCTTAGTGCTGGTATTGAAATATATATATAAGAATAACGTAGAAAAATTATATAATTTCAGTTCTGGTATTTTAATATTCATAAAAAATAATGGTAAAGATAATGTAATATTTATAGAAAATTGTTATGATTTTAGTGCTGGTATCTTAATAATCATAAAAAATATAGGTAAAGATATTGTAATATTTATAGAAAATTGTTATGATTTTAGTGCTGGTATCTTAATAATCATAAAAAATATAGGTAAAGATATTGTAATATTTATAGAAAATTGGTATGATTTCAGTGCTGGTATTTTAATATTCATAAAAAATATTGGTAAAGATATTGTAATATTTATCATTTTAGTGCTGGTATTGTTCTAAGATGTTATACAACAATGTACGTGCCATGCAGCATATTCAAGGTCATATAGACGCCAGTAAGCAGCAAAATATAGATCTCAGTGACCTAACTCAGTGCAAACATTGCTATAAACAGTTTGATACACCATTTGAAATGCAGACTCATGTGGAAAAGGTGAGAGATAATTTATGAATAATGGTAGTTCAGAAAGACTACTTTTTTCACTATATGCATGTATAATAGGTGCCTAATAAGACTCCTTTCTCAATTTTGAAGAAGGCCCCTTCACAATTAAAAAGGAACCACTCAGCTTTGTAGCTGAAGGAAATGCCATTTTGACAATCAAAATATCTATGATTGCCGCCATTAAACAAGTAATTCATGCAGTGTATATTAAACAATATCATGTTTAAATATCGATATAAGTTCTATCATGTAAAGATTTCTTCTTAAAATATCTCAAGTAAACATCTTGTAAATTTGATTTTCACAAATTGTGTCAATTTAAATTACGGTTCTTTCACAATTTAAAGAAAGTAATGCTAAAACATCAAGCCAAGGCCCCTATACCACTTATGTGTTGAATGTTGGTGGTTTTACTTAGGTAACTATTTGTTTCCCTGAAAAAAAAAAGGACCCCAGAAACTTCCTCTGCCGTAAAGCTGAAAAAATCACCATTAAAGACCTAAACCCGTGTTGGTTTTTGACGTTTTAAAACCCCCCCCCCAAAAAAAAAAAAAAAGGGCCAAAAATTTTATGAAGATTTCTTACCCGAGAATTTTTTTTTTTTTTCCCGGTGGCCCTTTTAAATAACAAAATTATTATTGCCGGATTTTTCGAGAAGGATTTTTCCCCCGGATGCGTAAACTGTTTTACAATGAAGGAAATAAAAACATCTGCTTGTGAGATGCCCCTACGTATGGGCACTTGGGGTAATTTTAAAAATCATCCAATTTTAAAGGGGATGTCTTCGACCCCCCTTTTTTTAAAAAGGTTTTAGAAGAAAAAGTTTTGGGGAAAAGTCATTGTTTTAAATGCATAAATAGTTGCAGATTTTTACAGTATTTACCTCCCTTGACAAGTGTGGCAGCCATTTTTGGGGGTTAGATAATCTAGACTATAATATAATTGAAAAAATATGAATATATCAATGTAATTTACAACTGATTTGCATGAAATTGTCAAATTGTTATATACATGTGAATGAAATATTACCAATATGTCAATGATTTTCATCAGTTTTTATGAAGCTAATAGAATTATGAGAGACTTATATATTATCTTATGCATTATGATTTATTGGGATTTAGCAATGAAATGGCAGCCAAAAGGAGGCTATAATTGCTATGTGCTAAGCATTCATTTAATTGTTGTAGACTTGGACCATTATAAGATAATTGTCTGTGATCATGGCTTATTGTTTGCTGACAGAAAAAGTGACATTTACAGTTGTTTTGGTTTTGAAACCATCTCCTGGGAACCAAAAAAAGGTGACCTGTGTGGTGGTGCAAATAGATATAACCGTTTTCGGAAAGTGACCACTATTTGGAAATAACCATTAGCTGAGATGAGATTTAACTGTGTATATATATGACTTAAACTTTACCCTGCTGGCGGCAACTTAATCTAGTCACGTGACCAGTGCAGACTAAAATCAAGCGGCACATCTGTTCTTCCTGATCATGGTTTACACTGTTTGCTATTAAGTCAGTACATGTTTTAAAATTTTGCCTAAAAATGCTGAATGGTTTTGTCCAGATAAAAAGATGGGACATGAAGTCCATTTCAAGATTTTTAGCTTGGTAAGGTTTTAGCATCACATTCTGGCCAGTGTGTTTTATTAATGTTTTATCTACGACGAATATTCATGAATTTCAGAAACATGACTCCTCCCACTATATGCTGTGTCTATACTGCCTGCGGACATTTGAGGTGAAATTTGTGAATCAGGGATGGGGTCAGACACAGACCTACTACGGTCATCTACTCAAACATCAGACAAAGAGTGCCACCAAGAAATTGTGTTTGTTTTGCCGGTCCTCCAACCTTCTTCAATACACGCAGGAAACCGTTGAAAAAACATCCGCAAAAGAAATCTGTCATATGGGTCAATTTTTCAAAGATGTTAAAGGTTAAAAAAATCACCACTTCCAGGCTGCAGTAAACTATAAGGGTTAGTCCCTTCTAAATTTAATAACAGTTTTTTCAGTTTATTGCACTAAGGTGACGAAATGTGAAATGGGTTTAAGTATTGTGAATATTTTCTGTATTTCTGATTTTGGCTCATTTAGGGAGTACATTGGATTTGCAATCCCGGGGTCCCTAGTTTGAAACATATGCCATCAAATTTTCTGAGAGAAATTTTCGGTTCACTGTAGAACCATAGATTTTCATGAAATCAGAAAGTGTTGAGCTAATGGCAAGGTTAAATATTTGTGAATTTTTATTTTCTGTTATTTTGAATTCATACAGAACTTGGATACATTGTAAACATTTCTTTTTTCGTGAAAATCTTCAATTTTGTGAAACGAGCAAAGTTTAATCCCTCACGAAAATTTCTTGTGTTACAGCACAGTCCAGATGTGTGCTCAGGAATACACACATACATAGATTTAACCTCTTTCTTATTCCAATACAGTGTAAATCTTTCATTCGATTACAGTTTATTCTCCTGGAGGCAAAGCTGATACTGGCCAGAACCCAAAGGAAAGGGGGTTCAACCTGAAGCCCTCAAAAACCCCCCTCCGTCGTGTCGGGGGATCCCGGGAAATAGGGGGGACATAAATATTCCCAAGCGGAGGAAACCCCCAAAACACGAAAATGTGTGGAAGTGAAGAGATAAATGTCCCCCAACAGTTTCATTACAAGTGAGTCTGTGTGTGTGTGTATTTGCGTTGATTTATACTCGCCACCGGGTGCCCATTAAAGCGAGTCCTTCTCAGAAACAGTAATTAGTCATTTTAGATTTTGTAGGGATAGTGCAATTACAAGATACAGAAAGAGGGGCCCCAATTCCAAGAAGCTCTCCTGGTTCTTTTAGCATGCCAAGTGTTTAAAAGCACCCATACAAGGACCTCGAGATTTAAAGTCTCAAACCGAAAGGACTAAATTAGTAATTTTAGTTGGCCAGCTCGGGAATCGAACCTGCAATGTCTAGATTACAAGTCTCGCACTCTTACTGATTGAGCTATGGGGGCTGGCTTTAGGGGAGTGAAAGGGATCTATCTACTTGTGTATAATGTTTTTTTTTTTTTTATAATAGCCTTTCAATACAAGCTATAACGTGTGCCTGTGCATCCTTATAAACCTTAGCCTCAGAATTAAAGAATATTTGGGTTTTTCCCCCAGCTAATTACGGTAGGTACAAAACACTTTTACAGTAAACAGGCTTTCAAAAATAAGCAAAACAACAGGTTTTGGGACTAAAATTCATATAGTGATGCAAAGTGCACCATGGAGCACCTATAACGAGGTAAAAGTTGGTTTGTACTACATCTTAGCTGGGGAAAAACCCACTGATAACACGCCCATGGTTAATGTCAGTGTTGCTCCAGTTATGTTTTTCTTGAAAATGGTGTTTTAAAATTGGGCAAAGTGGTGGTGTGTTTTTGGAGTTTAACATCTAGGTCAATGGGCCAGTTAGCCACTTTGAATTCACCAAGAGCAACACTTCAGCCACTGCAGCGTTTCCCTGGGGCAGGCTGTTCAAGCAGTTTATCAGTACTAGTTGGAAATTATTTTTTCCCAAAGGAACTGAAAACACTTTTGAAAAATTGCCGGGAAAAAGTACGGGCCCCAATGATTGTCAAAAGGGAAATTTTCATGATCAAATCACAATGAAAGGGGGAACCCGAACTGTGGGGAATCGAACCCTGGTAGTCTGATTTATAGCCCAAAGGGCTCTAAGGGTTGTGCCTAAAAAAAGCTAAAAAAAGTTTTAAAATAAAACCTCTTGGGTTCCCAAATTAAACTCTTTGCTTTTTTATTTGCCTTTTCTTTTTTGTGGAATTTTGTTCCTTGAAAGAAATCGAAAACCCCAGTTTTTCCCGGGCTTTTTTAAACCTTTCGTGTAATATTTTTGTTAAAAATGAGGAAATTTCATTAAAAAATTAACAAAGTTCGGCTGTGAAGGGCTTTTCAAAATGTTCCGAAAACTGGGCCCCAAGGGGCTTGGGCCAGGGGAGTAATTTAAAATAATTTTGTTTAAGGAGTAAAAAAAAAGGGTAAAATTTTAAAAATAAATATATTCAAAAAAGGAAAAGTACTTAAACCCCGAAATTTGGAAAATTTTTTAGTTTCACCCTGAAGTATGCTCAGGGTAAAGTTTTGGATAGATGATTGTCCTCGTCCGTTGTTTGTCCACATTTGTTTGGGTTAAAAAACCTAGGGGGATGGGGAAATTTGCCAACAATCTCATAAACTTGTTTGGGAAATGTTTTTACTAGTTGATACCCTGGGAAATGAGTTCAAACATTGGTCATCTCGGGGGAAAAACTAGGCCCACAGGAGCTAAAAAATAAAAAAACCCTTGTTAACACTCAAAGAGGGTCCCCATTTTGGTTTTTCAACCCATAAATTAAAGGGTTGGTCGGGAAATGCTTTTTCGGGGTTATGGGTTGGTTGTAGTTTTGAACATTTTGTTGGCCATTAGGCTCAGATGAAAAAGACTTAGGTCAAGGAGTTAAAAATAGGTGAAAAAAAACTTTTGTTAAGACACGCTAGGCGTCACATTTGTTTGCCGCATAAAATCATCATCAAAACTTGCTCAGGATGCTTTGTCCTAGGGTGATAGCTCGGAAGCTATTTCGAAACATGGGTCATCTTGGGATTTAAAAAACTAGGGTCAATCCTCAGGGAGCCTAAAAAATAGAAAAACCGCTTTTTAATCCCACTCTATTTGGTTCACAATTTTTTGACTTAATTGTCATCAAAACTTGGGGTCAGAATCTGCTTGTCTAGGTAATTGTTCAGCCTGACGTTTTTGATGGGTGTTTCAGGTGAAGCGATCTAGGGGCCATTCGGCCCTCCTTGTTTTATTAATACTTTGCCATGTACAAAGATTTTTGTTAACCTCTTTTATGTGCCTGTTGCTGTTTTTTAGCTGGGTAGATTTTGCTATTAAATAATTGTCCGGTGTTTCAGGAAATATGTTCACTGTACAATGTGTAGATTTGCCACCAGCTGCAGTGTTGCCTATGCTAACCACATGATGGGCTTCCACTCGGGCCAGATGTCAAGTTTGAATCTTAACATACCGTGGGAGAGACCGATGAAGGAGATCATGTTCTGTGCGTGCGGCTTTAGTTCAAAATACGGCAATAAAATTGGTAAGATACCAGGTTACTTATAGGCTCATTGGGCGGGGTAGCCATACTTATATTGATATATATAGTTGTTACCCATTGGGCAGGGGAGCTATATTTGAATTGTAATATATAGTTGTTACTAGTGTTTTGATTATGCACATGTCATAAGAATGAATAATTTACGTACCTACACATGAAGATAATGGGTCATATCCAAATAATTTCTAGATTCCTCATTTTGGCTCATTTAGGGAGGATTTATAATAAACAATCTGAGTTAGGAAAGTTTGAAAGATGTGTGCTTACATAATTTGTAGAAATTATAGAATTGGGAAAATAAAAAAAAATCAATAAGCATAAAATTAATACAGAACTAGGAAGAGATCTATGAATTGGGAAAAGAGCAACAGATAAACATATTTATGGAATTGGGAAAAGATCTTGACCATAATGACAGCATTTAGAGCAGCAACATAATTGGGGAAAATAAAACAGACAAGATTACAGAATTGGGAAAAGAACAATGGACAAACTTTTTTTTAGTGAAAATAAAAATTGGGGGAAAAAAAAAACAACACTAATTTATTCGAAACTGCTGAAACTTTTTGCCAACAGGTAGACTTGAAAAATCGCCATTTTACCTTTTGTTCACTATTTCTATAAATGAAAGCCTTGAACACAATGAAATTACACTTAGACTGTCTTGATTTCAGCCAATCATTTAGTGTACTGTGGAAAATGGACCAGTTACTCAACTAGACGTTCCCAATCTGAAATTTCTTCTGGAGCCTCTGGTAAGATTGTTTCCCGTTTTTACTAGTTTAGTCTCCGTTTTGTTCCCTTGTTGGCCTATTGTTAACTCAATACTGATTAATAATATAGTTTTCATATATGATATAGTTTCACTGGTTTTGATTTCTGAAGGGAAGCTAAATTCCCCCGAGGAGTCACTAATTGGTACATCTTGTGCACACAACAGCTGGATTAATATTACTTGCCGGAACATTGGTAAATTACTGGTTATAGTTACCAGGAAATCACCAGTTTGAGGATGGACAGGTGAAAATGGTTAAAAAAATGGTTTTAAGTTGTGCATTAAGAGAAAAAAAAAAAAACAAAAAAAAACAACAGAAAATCAATCTTTATTGCCAAATAATTATGGTTACAGTCTACTGTAAATAATACAAATGCATAAATCTGTTTGTGGGTGTGTGGGGGTGGTTATCATAGTTAAATTTTGCTTTCTGGCTGCCCTTTGCTAACCCCATAGCCCTTAACTGAGAGCTCCAGTTTTCCGTCCAATGACACAGAAAGAAATTGATGTGAGAACATATAAGATAATTGAGATAATTTTCTTGGAACAAATTTAGCATGTAAAGGATTAAAGCTGAGGAAAAAAAAAAAGCAGTACCGAGTTTAAGTTGCTAAAGGCTTAAAGTTTCCATGTGTTGTCTACTTTTTTTTAAAAGAGGGAAAGATAAGAAAAGAAGGGCTATTGCTTGGGAATGCTGGTCTGGTACAGAAAGATAGGGGCCCCTTCCCGGGTTGGTTTTATTTTTTGTTTAAAAAAAAATAAAGTAAGTATTTAGCATATGATATAATGTATGTATGGAAGTCCTAAGTTAGGTGTTAAAGGAACTCCACTGAGGTCCAAAAGCGTAAAAGTATTTTATTTTGAATTTTTAAAAATAGTTCACCTGGGGTAATTAAGTCAGATATATAAAAGATAATTAAGAAATTTTCTCAAAAATAAATTTAAATAAATGATCTAGAATTTTTCACAAAGGTTATTGGTCTAAAACTACATCAAATAGAAAATTAATGTTGGAAAATTATTTCCAGTCACATCATGTCAAAAAAAAAAAACCTCAGTGGAGTCCCTTTTAAGTTAACATTTGAAATGTTTGATTAATTTAGTTCCTACCTTTGTTCTGGTTGGAGACTCAACTATTCCTTTCTGAGCATTATATATTGTACTGTTAGCAGGTTGAAGGTGCAATTTGGTGCTAACAAGAATAAAGAAATGGTCTTATTTTTTCTAACTTATATTGTCAAAAATAGCCTACAAGAGTGTTCGGAAATATTTTGAATGTGAAAGGTGAGTCCATCGCATTGGAAGGTATAATATCTAACAAGAACTAGAGAGACATAGTATTTATTAGTAGAAATAGCACTGCCACCTATGAAGGTATTGAGAACAAAGCAGCAAGCGTCATCGAATCTCAGGCCCGTTATAAGGCTTCAATGTTAGGGTAAGGTTCCAACACATTGTTTAAAACCGAGTTTTGATATATAACGGCTCACATTAGCTAAGGCACATACTTTTCCGCGTATATGAATAGACCAACATTATTTTTTCTTAAAATGATTTAATAAATGTTAAACATATAGTATACTTTAAGGAAAATAGATATCAAATTCTGAACAGTGCATTGGTTGGAGAATAAATGCACGGTTTTTGGTTCAAATGCGTAAGTAATATAATCACGAAGGCCAATAGGCCTGAGTGATTAATTACAAAGCATTTGAACGAAAAACGTGCCATTGTACAATAATGGCACGAAGAAATTTAATATCTATTTCCAATTCTAACCACGATCAAGAAAAAATATAATTATTATTAATAAGTTGGACTTTAATGTTTGGGGGTTAAATTTGTTTTCGCCCTTAAGAGTCTTCCAATAGAAACGTTCTTTAAAGGCCGTTCAGAGTGGGTTGACAAAAAACTGTCGTATAAATAACCGTGTGTAGACATTTGAAGAATAACAAATTTTGAAAAACGTTGATAAACTTTGGATTTGTTTAATTTTATTTCATTCTATAACTATTTTCCAAGGCGAAATACAAATTAATTAGAAATGAATAATGTAAACTTACTCAATCTGCGACGTTGAAATAGAGTACATTGATTTTGATTGTTTTGTCAACATGCGTTTGGCACGCTACATTGTGAACGTCAACGTAAAACAACACCTCTTAAGAACGTCTGGTAACAAGCGTTAACCGACTGGAATAAAGGAATTGGTGGTTCTGATTTATTTTCCATTAGACCAATTTTCTATCATCAACTAGATAGTTTTCACAAACAAAATTCGACAAAAAAATTGTTTTTATTTATCAGATTTTTTCAAAACAAAATGGCGCCGCTCATGTGAATCACAGGAATGATAATAAGAAACAGGCGAGTGCATTGTTAGCAGATAATGCACGGCTTCGGGCCTTCTTGCTATATCATAAATTCCGATAGTGTTAGAATGTTAAATGATACTATTTAAATTTGAAAGAAACAGAAAATTTTCGAAAGAAAAACATAAATCATGAATGTAAACAGTTAGCCATTGCAGTTGTAATAAAATCTTTCAGCTGTAGTTGTGTCCCTTATTTAATCAAACGCCATTTATTTCCTCTGTCTAAACTGATCGATTATATGTGCAGGATTTTTAAATTGATTTTGGGCATTGTGTGGTTCACTTAATTCTTCGATGTTTGCATGCCACAGTTACGATATGAATATGAAATTTTTGATACCTAACTGTTCAACAGATAAAGCAACATAAGAGCGGACTAACGCTAATCTGTGCATGCTTTTCAAATTTCACACCTTCTGTGCTTATGAGTGTCCTAATTATTCTAATTGCAATTGCTTATTGTTTTTGACTGTCACATTGAAAGATACATCGCTACATGAAAAAGAAATATACCAAAAATACATTTTTGGAGGGTGGGCAAGGCCTATGAGATTTAATACTGAGGTTAGTGCTTAAACGGGGGCTGCAGTGTATTTCTCATTGTGACTAATGCCTATGTGGGGCTAAATGAATCGTGGTTTATTAATTTTATAAATGTGTTTAACAAGAAAGTTCTTTTTTTTCTTTTGATCTAATTCTCAGCAAATTGTTTCATTGTGTTGATTTAATATCTAGAATTTTTATTGTAGGTTTTTTAAGGGTGTATCTTATAACTTACCTTTGGGTTATACTCTGAATGGAAATAGAGAATAATAGGTTGGTGCCGTGGATGGAGAAAGTTTATCTGGCGCGGCGGAGGAATTTATTGGGTGAGCCGAAGGCGAACCCAATAATTTCCGGAGCAAAGCCAGATAAACTTTCTCCATCCACGGCACCAATCTATTATTCTATTTATCCTGTCACCGTTTTTTTTTAAAGAATTTTATTAGGCAAACTACCTTTAATCACACTATCAGAAATGTTTCTATATAAACAAAGAAGGCCCGAAGTGTGCATTATTCTACAACAATCCACTCGCCGTTCTTATTATCTCCCTGTGTATTTTCACATTGAGGGCGCCATTTTGTTTGAAAAATGTGATAAATAAAAACAATTTTTTGTCGAATTTTATTGTGAAAACCATCTAGAATGAAAGAAAATGGTCTAACTAAGAAAATGAATTCGAACACCAATATCTTTTATTCAGATGTTAACGCTGCACAGACGTTTAAAGTATTGTTTACGTGACGTCACGATGTAGCGCCAAACAGCACGTGCAAAACAATCAAATCAAGTCTGTTTTAATGTCGCAAAGTTTTACATTTATTTCACTTTTATTAATTTTTATTTCGCTTGAAAAATTATAGAGTGAAATAGAATAAACAAACACAGTTTTATCAACGTTTCCAAAATTCGTTATTCTACACACAGAAGATTTAACGACAGTTTTATATTTTCTTGAAAAGTAGTCGGGCAAACATGCATACCACGTGATCAACTGCCGTAGATCAGTAAAAATATACGGCACCTTGTTAGCGGGTCGAAATTGATACAAGTGACAGGATAAAAGAAAAATTTGTTGTTTTGAGACGAAAATCCCCAATGGAAAAAGTTTCCAAATTAAAAATAAAAATGTTTGAGTCTGAGTAACGAGTTACTACTAACAACCAGATAAACAAAGGAACACTAAATATCATGTTAAACAATGACACACTCCCACGATATGACTAAAACTGGGCTTGCGTCAGAGTAAAAACTAGATAAACAAACACTATAGGCACTATATATTGAATAATTATTGAATGAAATGTAAATGTCTTCTGATTATAAATTGTAATTTATGTCGTCTGCTTCTCATTAATTTTGTTGTTGTTGTCATTTTGACAGTCAAGGATTCAGATGGTAAGAAATTTGCTAGCGAGTGATTTACAGCTAACTGTGTGTAGTCCAAGTGTGTACCCTCTCACCTAGTCATATTTAGATTCTGTGTCCTTATCAGATCTTCAACCTTCCTTCCCTGTGTACAAATGAGCCGCATCATGACAAAACCAACATATTGGGTTTGCTACCAGCATGGATCCAGACCAGCCTGCGCAGCCGCGCAGTCTGTTCAGGATTCATGCTGTTCGCTATCAGTTTCTATACTTGTTATAGGGTCTGTAAGTGAACAGCATGGATCCTGATCAGACTGCGCGGATGCGCAGGCTGGTCTGGATCCATGCTGGTTGCAAACCCATTATGTTGGTTTTTTTGTCATGACACGGCTAAAATGTAACCTCACTAACCAGAGATATTTTAGATATGTTTGCACAACAATCATATTGTTTACAGTATGCTCTTGGCTCTAAATAGTATGCTCTTGGCTTTATATAGTATGCTCTTGGATTTATATAGTATGCTCTTGGATTTATAATGCTATTTTATTTGCTTTTTTGTATTTGCTTTATTTGTATTTTATGAGACATTTGCTTTATTTTGTATATTTTTATAAACTTGTATTTTTGCTGTTTTTTGGTTGTGGGTTTTTTGCTTTGGTTGGGGTGTGACATGTGTTCTTAAATCTTGAATTTGGCAATATTTAGGTTGTGTCATTTGCTTTTATTTGGAGTGAAACATATTTGCTATATTTGGTATATGACATATTTGCTTTTTTGGAGTGTAACATATTTGCTATATTTGGTATATGACATATTTGCTTTTATTTGCATTATAACATATGTTTATATATAGCATGAGGCATATTTTATGTACTTTCAATGTGACAGATGTATGTGCTGTTTTTGCTTTATTCAGAATAGTACAGAACTTTCACTTCATTCTAAAACCTTCATTCTAAATTTAGATATACATGTATTACCTTTTCCTGTAGCATAAAAACTGATAGATTATATTAGCTTTTCTCTTGCTCAAAATCTGATATACTAACTAAATGTCTTCAGCTGGATACCTGAGATAATAAGTACCGTAAAATTCCTATTAAACGCCCCCGGGGGCTAAACATTTTCCAAAAGGGGGGCTATTATTACCACACGTAATAAATCTTAAATCCAAAAATCATTGAAAATACATTTAGTGGAACATGGGTTGGTAATAACATTAAAATGTGTTAAGATTTTAAAGTTCATGTGTTCATTTGTGTTTACTATGAAATAAAATGGATTCTGAAGGATTTGAGTTCACCACTCATGAGCAGATTTTTTTCCATATCAAAAAGCCTGGGGGGGGGGGGCTTTTATTAGGGAAGGGGCGTTTATTAGGAATTTTACGGTGTGTCTGATTTAAATGAAAAATGATGATATACAGTATAACCTCTGCAGAGTGACACTCTGTAGAGCAACAACCTCTAAACAACAACCAAATGATTTGTCTCTGAGAGGCTGATGCTTTGCAGAGGGTGTGCTGTAATTATATGTCCTATATTGAGAAAAATGTCAACTTAGTTTACTTCAGATTTGAACCTGATATAAATAACTTTATTTACTTTTGGGTTTAAACCTGATATTAATTAACTTTAAATCTGATATTTATTAACTTAATTTACTTCGGGTTTTAACCTAATATACTTAAATTTTGCTTCAGGTTTAAACCAGAAAAAAATTAACTTAATATTTTAATTCAGGTTTAAATATGATGTAATTAACTTAATGTACTTTGGGTTTAAACCTGATATTAATTTACTTTATTTACTTTGGGTTTAATCCTGACATTAATTAATTTACTAAAGGGTTTAAACCTGATAATTAATAACATAATTTGGTTTAAACCTGATATTTATTAACTTAATTTAATAAAGTTTAAACCTGAAAGAATTAACTTAATTTGCATCATGTTTAAACCTTATATAATTTTTCTGTTTGTTTCTTTACTGTGGTAACAATCTTATATAACTTTTTCCTATTTTTTTCTCCATTATTACATAGCATGCAATCAGAGGGGTATTGGTGAAGTAATAAATTCCTTATATATTATATAATTATTTTTCTATGCAAATAGCTGCTCATTAGTTTACAGTTACTTTAGACATATTTGAAATGATTTTAGTTTTTTCACATGGTAATAAAATTTTAAAACAAATATTTATAATACAGTGCTTATGCTCTTTATCATTAAAGTATACATTATTGTTAGAAATTAGCAGTATTATAGATAATTTGAGCCACGTCATGACAAAACCAACATAATGGGTTTGCGACCAGCATGGATCCAGACCAGCCTGCGCATCCACGCAGTCTGATCAGGACCCATGCTGTTCGCTTACGAACTGTACAACATGTAGTGAAACTGATAGCGAACAGCATGGGTCCTGATCCAACCATTATGTTGGTTTTGTCATGACGCGGCTCATTTGTACTCATTACAATTGTTCGATGAAAGTCATGTCCCACTCATAATTTGTAACCTTTACAATTGACCAATGAATGTCAATGTTACAGACATATAACTTGCAGCCATTTAAACTGACCAATGAAAGTCAATGTTACACACATAATTTGTAGCCATTACAATTGACCAATGAAAGCCAATGTTACACACATAATTTGTAGCCATTACAATTGACCAATGAAAGCCAATGTTACAGCAGTATAACTTGCGGCCATTAAAACTGACCAATGAAAGTCAATGTTACACACATAATTTGTAGCCATTACAATTGACCAATGAAAGTCAATGTTACACACATAATTTGTAGCCATTACAATTGACCAATGAAAGTCAATGCTACACACATAATTTGTAGCCATTACAATTGACCAATGAAAGTCAATGTTACACACATAATTTGTAGCCATTACAATTGACCAATGAAAGCCAATGTTACAGCAGTATAACTTGCCGCCATTAAAACTGACCAATGAAAGACAAGTTTACACACATTTTGTATAGATGTTTTATTTGCTTAAGCCTACTTCAATGGTTGTATTAGAGATATGTTAATGGTTTATGGTTGCCATTTTGGACAGACCAGTATGTAAAATAAAAATGAAGAAGACATAATTTTTTCTGTCACTAAATGATATGGATATACACACAGCATAAATTGATAAGAAATAGACATAAAATATATAGAAAGTTCTAATTAAATTCTCATTTCAATTTCACTTTTATTGATATATTTGCACTAGGATTTTAAAAATACAAATATTTTTTTTCTCTTTCAGAGATTAGATCTAAACCAAAGTTAGACAATAAACCAAAAGAAATACAAACAAAGAAAAGTGAGGATGTGGATGAAGATGTCAACAAAAAGTCTCTCACTAAGGAGAAAATTGAAGTAAAACCAATTACTGAAGATCTCAAAGTCCGAAAAATGTCCGAAGAGAAAGATACTACTGACACTACAGATGTTGAAACAAAACAGCATGTGGTTACAGACGCATCCAAAAAACCTGATGAAGAAATTGACAGGCCTAAAGATATTTGTGAGAATAAGAAAAGCCCTGCTGATATTGATGAAGAAGTTAAAGATGCTGAAAAAGAAAATTTGACTAAAGAGGCTGATATCATTAATCTAGATTCAGAAGATGAAAATTCAGAGAATCATAAAAACGAAGAGGCAGAGTCAAAAAGCATTAAACTTGTGAATGATCCAGCAGCTGAAAGTGAAGAGACTAAAAAAGAAGTTGAGACGGTAACAGAAGAAACCAGCTGTGTTGCACCAGCTGAGAATAAAGGGGTTAAAACAAATGAAGAAGAAGTGATGGAACAGGAGACAACCAATGAACTAGATGTGAAAACTGGAGTTGAAGAAGATGTATCAGATAAGGAGGAAAAAGAGATAGCTTCAAAAGAAACAGATGAGAAAAACAACACTGATGGTAAAGAGGAGGATGAAAAAGAAACAATGGATATAACAACTGATGTGACAGAGGATAGATCTGCAGAAGAACTGGTTGATAAGGAAGAAATGGAATCTATGGAAGAAGAGGACAAACAAAATGAGCCTGTAACATCGATTGAATCTCCCAAGGTTGAAGAAAGTCTTGAGAAAGAAAATGCAAAACTTGACACTGAAACATGTGTAGAGAAAAGTCCTGAAGTTAAAGAAATGGATGTAGATGCCGAGTCTATGGATATAGAGAAAAATGTAGTGGACAATGAAGAGGTTGTTGAAGAAGTTAATGAAACAACTGGTATTCCAAAGGAGCATGTCGAGGAAGGGAACACTGTTACAGAAGAAGAAAACAAACAATCTGGAGAAGAACAGGTAAAAATTGAGTAACAAAATATTTTTATGTTAGGATTTTGATAAACTTATTGAGACTACTTCAAATTACTTGCCACTCGCCAGTTAAGCTGGAATAACATTTTGGATGTGATTTAAAATCTAATAAAACAAACAGACTTGAAATTCCCTCTATGTATCCAATTGTAAAGTATCCTCTATTTAATAAGTTAATTTGATTGAACATATTTAATAAATGTTTGCCATGTCCATCTATCGTCTCCTCCTTCATTAAGTTTTTAAAGATTATTTATGGCAGCAGTTTAAAATAAAGTAAGAAAGGAGTTAATTTAATCAATTACCTAAATATAATTGTTCATCTTAGGTTGTTGCTGAACCATCTCCAGCGGAAAAGACATCGTCTAAAGTAGATGATGAAAACAAACCTAAAGGGGATGATATACCCAAAGAAGGAAATGAATCCAAAGAGGAAGAAAAGGATAAAGAAGTTGATGTTGAGAGAGAGAAATCTGAAGATAGAGCCTCTTCAAGTGACCGAAGAGCATCAAGCGACCGAAGCTCTCAGGACCGACACAGGGACTCAAGTGAAAGACATTCCATAGAGAGGCGTGACTCCCGGGATAGGCATCACTCTGGAAGTAGTGAGCGATCTAAATATGATGACAGGTCAAGGCGAGATGACAGACACCGCCAAGACAACAGATCACATGGATCTAATAGGTAAGTTGAATTATGTCATTTTAAAATAAGTTCCATATGAGAGTAGTTGGTAAGTTTATATTTGAGGGCCTGCTGATGTGTCAAGTTGTGCACCAAGGGGTGTCTGGAGGTCTTCCTTCATCAGTTAAGCTGGAAAGTTGACATAATTATCATGACCTTTGTAGGTCAGTGAAAAAATCAACCTGAGGTTTCCCGCGGTCATTGGGATTAACATATTGCACATGACAATTATCTCTTAATGTGTCTTAATAAAGAAAAGACCAAAATTATCTGCCCGATTTATCAGTATAGTTAATCGCAATGCCAAATTTACTCTTAAAAAAAGGCTTGACAACAACTTCTAATTGCACAGAACCAACATTTTAATATGATTTTTCACTGCTATGCATTATTACTCCGAGAGCCATTCATCATTGATTTTTATCATATCAAAAAAATAGCAGCCAGGGGAGAGAACTAGAACAAGTTTTTTTAAGTATGTATAGATTACTTCCCCTGGGGAATTTTGCAAACAATTTTTGACCGGGTGATATTCATTTCCAGGATGATAGATTGAAATAACACCATGTGACATCATTTATAGTAAATGTGACATCATATATAGTAAAAAGTTTACACGAGATATAATAATAAATATACTTTATACACTTCACATCATTTGCTGATTATTCCATTTAATTGAATCATTTGATGTATGCAAGAATATCAAATTTTATGTTTTTAGGCTTAGTGACCTCTTTGGAGCTCCTTTTAAACCTAAATGGTGTCTTACATTTACCAATATTAATTTTTTTTAAACATTTTTCAGGTCAGACAGTTACCATAGTAACCGATCTAGCTACGATCAGAACCGAGATCGCTCATACGACCGAGACCGAGATTACAACAGGAATAGAGATTATAGACATGGCGATAACAGGTGCGTCTATTTTTAGAATTGGGAAAAATGTTAAAGTATGGGGGTATCGCTTACTTTTGCAATAAATGTTACAGTAATGGGGTATCGCTTACTTTTGCAATAAATGTTACAGTAATAGGGTTTTCAAAATACTGTTGCAATATTGATAAAGTTGGCAGTTCCAAAAATATAAGCTGGAGAAGTCCATTCACTAAATACATTAGTTTATGGTATATGTTGCATCCAATATCCAGTGCTTGGTTGACAATCTACTTTTGTGATATGTATATTTGGTTTATACAGAATTTATTTTTAGTTTGTTTGTGTGGGAAGCTATAAGTTTATAGACACACTTTCAAATCCATTCCTGGAACCAACCAGTACTGAGCAATTAGTGTGAGGGTTCTTGCTGAAGGAAACAACAACTAGCCCTTAAATTTATTGAACTTGTTGAATAGAATAATATTATGCCCACCAGAGGCTCGCTCGCATAATATAATTTTTTTTCAACACATTTGAAAAATTTATTGTTGAACCTTTACTTATTTGATATCCTCTGTATGCTGCATAAAATATTCCCCAAATCAGATGTTGTGGATACAATTATATGATTAAAGCTTAAGTGATTCATTAAATATATAGTGTCAGAAGATAACATTTTGTAATGTCACATTGCAACATTACCAAACATGTCGCACATGCCTCCTTGGATACTGGGTCGTAGTTATTATGTTAAGTCTTTAAAAAATGATTTGTTTGGTGTTATAGAAATAAACATCACATCCCATTGACAATAATAAAATGTTCACTGTAACAAAATGTTCACCCTTTACCAAAAAAAAATTTGTCGAACATGGCGTTACATCACTTGTATCAAGTGAACATTATGTTCTAGCGCCCTAGTTGTGATGTAATATTTATATAATGTATTGAAACATAGTAAAAAATATATTTTAGAAGTGGACATGGATACCAGGACAACAGAGGTTATGGAGGTCAAGGTCACAGAGGGCATCAAGGTCAGTATGGTGGTTACCAAGGAAACAGGGGAGGAAACAGTCAGGACAGAAGCTACAATAGAAATTACCAAAACAGAGGGGGTTACAACCAGAATTACAGGGGTAATCAAAGAGGGGGTTACTACTAGAGACGTTTGATGACTTAGGAGAATTGACAGATCTTGTACAACCCTCATAAAATTTTGACATAAGCGTAAACTTGCACTTTGTTACATCTTTAAGCTTATCAGTGGTTCTTCAGTGGTAAAATGAAGAATTTTCATACAAAAAAGATAATAATATAAGAACTATATGTGTTGTAAAGTGTCTCGGCATAATGTCAAGAAAAGCACATTTTTAAGCCGTAATTGGAACTGTGGTGTATCTTGCAGTTTATAATCTAGCATATCCGAGACTATGATGAAGTGTTTGAATAGCAGGCAGAAACTATGATGTAGTGTACTGGACAAATTTTCAAATATGTAGAGACTATGGTGAAGTGCACTGGACATAATTCTACATACAAGATGAAAGCTATTGTGTAGTGCAATTGACATAAATGAAAGGTATGGTGTAGCGCACAGAACATTATTTCAAATATGAGATAAAAGCTACAGAGTAGCATACTGGACATAATTTCACAAACAAGATATAGACTATGGTGTAGTGCACAGGACATAATTTCAAATACAAGATAGAAACTATGGTGTAGCGGACAGGACATAATTTTACAAACAAGATAGAGCTGTAATGAATGTTTAAGTTTGAGGAGTCACACCTCATAGATAACCTTTAGTGCATTAATTTTGTACACAGTTATAACAGGAAATTATTTTTAACTCTGTCCTAACATTTTTCCTCTTCAAGGAATTCCAGGAAACGTGTTAAATTCTCAAGTTGTGTTCTGATTAGGGAGAAAAAAAAATCAAGAAATTCCAGGAAACGTGTTAAATTCTCAAGTTGTGTTCTGATTAGGGAGAAAAAATCAATACATTTATCTAAACTTCATTCTTCTAAGTATTTATGTATATATATGAGGCATGGTGTGAAAGATTTTTGAATTCATTTTAATTTTGTATGATAATGTGTAAATTGACATTTGTTTCTTTGAAATTTAAAATATATTTTTGTTTTGTGCAAAATTCAGCTTTAAGTATATGTACTTAAACTGACATATTTGTAAATGGATTTTAGGGCAGCATTTTATCATGTAACAATTTTGTTAAGCTTTTTGTTTCAGATTGCATAGCGAATACATGTAGATTTATCATAATTTTCATTTTTGGGGTAACTGAGTGTTAACTTTAGCTAGATTGGATGTTTTGACCCTTGTTAAGGTGTTTTGACCCTCAGTGAGGTTATGACCCTCATTAGAGTATTTTGACCATCAGTAGGGTGTTTTGCCCTCAATAGGGTGTTCAATGTAACACATGCCTATGATATATTACAGTGCCGTTCAAGACTTTGAAATGTTGATTTTAAATATAAAAAGGTTTATACATAAAACAATTTTTTTGTGTTGTTTTAAGGATGTGAGAGATAAATAGATAAATGGACTTTTTTAATCTATAAATAGCATATAACCAGAAATACATTCTATAAATAGCTCATTGCATATTTTCCATTACAGGTTTTCTTAAAAGGCAAAACTGGAAATTTAGGTGTTTATTTTATATAGTCTGTTCCATGTTCTAAAAGCAGCAGTGTATTTTAAACGCTTCACATTTTTTTGTGTATACTACAATGCGTAGGGACTTGCTTTAAACACAGTATGATATTTACAAAGAATGTTTGTGTTTTTGATTTTATTATACTTTTGATTGATACTTACTGTTGTGTTTGTTTGTTTGTATATTTTTGTATTTTCTTGTTGTGAAAACATCTTCTTTTAAAAAACTATCAGGCCATTTTCTTTTCAAGCTAGTCCTTTTTTCAGGCATTTTTCTTTTTTACACCAGGACTGGCCTCTTTCACAAACATTTTAAGGTTGACCATTGGAAGATTAGGGAGAGCTGTTGATCTTACCCAGACTTAGATGTCACACTTTTGGTTAAGCTTTTGCATGCAGATTGGTGTCTCCAAAATTACTGAAAGGAATGGGCTGAACATTTGCACACTTGTTATCTATGGTTGCATAAATTATTTACACAGGCCCAGTAACTCTTGAGTTACCTTTTTACAATGTTAGGTCCCTTTATTATGGTCAAGCACTTCTAGCCTTGCTGTCTTATGGACAGCTGTTGTCTATTAAAAAATGCATATTTTATAGAAAACACTGCATATTCATTTACATTATATACATCTACAAACTGGCGTAAATGAAATTCGTCTTCAATACATTTACTCTGTACATGATATGCAATGATGGATATTTGTTTTGTATGAGCATTTAACTTCACAGCAAACTACTTTCGTTAAATAAACTACCTTAATGATGTGAATGAAATTCATCTACCTTACCTATATTCTTTTACACAATATACACTGTGGAATTTTCAAGATACTTACTTGTTTATTTGTTGTAAATAAAGTATGGGAATAAACCTCCCTGTTGATTTCTAGCCTGAATCATAAAAGTGTAAATTGCAAGCTAAATTGTAACATAAAATGTCACTTGAATTTAAAATATCTTGATATAAATGATGTAGTCAGCATATTTCTTTTATATTAATACACAGGGTTGTTTTGTTGTTGTTGTTTTTTGGTCAGAAGCGATACACAGTGAGTTTTATAAATAATAACTCACACAAGTATTTCACTGATTAGCATGTAAAATTGTTTCATATATTTTTTACATGTGTATAAATAATGATCCAAAAAATAATTAAGTGTATCATATTTTGCTTGTACAAAGTGCTTAATTGTTGTCATATTATTTCTTTGAATATTTTTCTGTTGTATTCCTTCATATATGGGTAAGGAGAAATTTTACTGTTTTCTGTCACAGTGAAATATTGTCATTTAATGTGTCATACAGAACCCGCGTCTTATAGTGGGGTCACCCGCGTCTTATAGCGGGGTCAAGTCTTATATTGGGGTCAAGTCTTATTGGCGAGTAAATAAATGTTATCAAAGATTGATCATTAATTGATTTATTGTCGTTTCGTAGGATCATGACTACATTGTCAAAGTTGTTATTTTGTTTAAAGAGTTTGCCATCTTTGTAAGATGTAAATTTATCATTATCATGTGTTAAAAAACAGCCATTTTTCATAGCATTTGTAAAAAAGGCTTTCATGTAAAAAAAGCATCGGTCAAAATAAAAATTTTGTAAAGAAAAAAAAAACTAGAAATTTGTTGTTTTTCAACTCCTGTTAATTTTGTGTAAAGAAAAAAAGTGGAGGTATTGATATGACCCACTCTTTGGCGTTACTGGTTAACCTTTTTGGTTAAGTTTACATAAATAGTCATGCTAACAGTTACCAAAATAATGCAATTTAGACATTATCAATGGCACTTAAAACCCATGTTAACTACCATAAAGAGGTCAAAATATGCAAAAATAGCCCTTACTGCGTTAGTAATGCAGTAGAAATATAGTTATAAATACTGAAAAATTGGTTATTAATCGCAAATTATGTGTAAATTAATACTAGAATTTTGAATCTTTATACTCTTCCGAAAATCTAATTACCTCATTCTCAGGTTTGATTTTATCAAAATATTTTTGCTCATCTGGAGGCGTATTTAATTTTAACATTGAAACTTAATATGTGGATACACCTACCTCTTACTACACTGAATTTAGGTCAAAGGTCAAGGACACTGTGACCTTTAACAGGTAAAATGTTCTCTCAGAAACTACCAAACTTTTCACTTTAAATCTGTCTTACTTGTTCACAATCTTGTGATACAATATCACAAAGGCAGATAATCCTTGTTACTTTTTGCCCTTTTCTTTACATATTTATTATTTTTACTGGAAAAACTTTTTTAAGATTAATTTCTCAAAAACTGTCAAAAGATATGGACCTATCCAGTGTTTAAAGTTTTATGTAAATTGGCTAACTTGTTATCCAATTGCTACACTGAGATAATACATAGTCACTGGTTGACCTGGTTTGCACAAAACAACACACGCTTATGTTTGTGAGCAGTTGACCTAGCAATGAATGGAAAAGGTGTGGCTAAGTGTGCTACGAAAAACTGGAAAGGTCCATTGAAATACTTGGAATACTTATTCACTGCAAAATTTGGATTGCATACATTGGTGGACAATTGTAAGCTGTCTCTCAATAGGTCTAGCTTTTTTAGCACAATAGGTATAGCATTTTTAGCTCAATAGGTCGAGCGTTGGACTTTAATCGGGCGACCTAGGTTCGAGACAGGGCAAGTCACTTTCCTTGTGATTGATTAGATATCCTTTTTACAGTCATTCACACTGAACCTCTGCTCTGGCATGTACAGAAGTAATCAGTTAATTGTGAAAGTTACATTGTTCTTCTTGCATGCCTGCTCATGGCAGGAATTATGCATGGAAAGGCACCTCAGGTCTTCTTCCACCACTACAGCTGGAGAGTCACACCAGTTATGACCATTACAGTAAAACCCAACAAACAAATAAAAAACAATTGAAAGACTCCGTAAGGAAGGATTCTTTTTGGCCTGATGTCAGTTCTAAAGTTGATCAGGAAAATCGCCATATGACTTTCACGGTGTTAATGCAAGGTAAAACCCCCCAAAAAAAGAAAAAAAAGTTTGGGATCATGCATACAAATAAATTACAAGTTCACTATAGGTAAGGAGACTCAATCATGTCGTGATTTCTTAGAAAAATTTGTTTAAGGACGTTTTCGGGAGTTTTCATGTAGACATTTCATAAAGACATATGGGCAAAATGAAAACTGTTCAATAGAATTTCTTTTAAACTTCGCATGTTGTTACAATATGATAACAGAAACATTTTAAGCGGGAAAAAAAAATTGGGGTCACCGTTCTTGTTTTTCAGTTTTAATTTTGCCTATGTCTTTATGAAAAATCCCGAAAATGTCCTTATAACGATGTATGTAAAGATAGAAACAAGCTACATAAAGACATATAATCGGCCATCTTTTGACAGCATTTATTTAAAAGACCATCAGCAACAAAAAAAATAATTCTTGCTTATACTTCCATCACATTTCATTTCCCGGGCTCAACGTAACGCTGTCTAAACTCCGCCCATTCTAGAAACCACGCCCACTTCAAGAGCAAGTTAGCCAGTATTACTATGACCCCTTCGATTTATAAATAATTCAGTATATTTTAGAAATGCAAACAAAATCCAGTGATAATAACAATAGTATATATATGATATATATAAATCATTTTACTTAGACAAAACAAACAATGTTACATAACTTAACATTTAAAGTCTGCACATGGTTGAAAATTACTTGTATATTGTCTTAAAGTACATGTATTCCTTCTTTCATTGCATGTATACCGTGTGATATTACATGTATTTCAACTAATATTTCAATACCATATAGTATATTTCATATATACCATGTTTTATTTCATGTGTACCATGTAATATATTTCATTCATACCATTTAATAATGCATGTATTTCAACTAATATTTCATGTGTACCATGTAAATTATTCATGTATACCATGTCATATTGCATATATTCAACTCATTAATTCATGTATACTATCTTATTTATCATATATATTGTAAACCATCATATAAGTTGTTTAAATCATAAATTTTTAAACATTAACCACATAGCCTGCTTGTGGCAACTGATAATACCAATGCCACCAGTACAGATCAAGATTGGCCCAGACAACCATGCCGTATCTTGGTCTGCACTGTTCACTATTCAGTTGTTTAATATTTTGAAATCTTCCCTGGAAAAAAAATCAATAGAGTTGTCCATATTGCAAAATGCGGGACAAGTTTATAAAATTTAACAAAGTAAAACAGATATATAGGAATTGTGAACTTTCAAACCTTGGTCCAAGGTAATAAAGAATTCTCCAAGCTCAAACTTAGTTCTCAGTTATTTGATTGGTCTTTAACTTCCAATGAATGTACACTGACCAATGAAAATCCTCGGATTTAAGACAAGACTCGTAAAATAGGTTTTAAAACCTTCAGGCCAGTTTTTACTAGCTGAAAAATATGTGTAAAGAATTGTGTTTATTAAATACGACTATTGCAGCTTAAATTGTGCATAGAATTTTAAAGCAGCATGCCTCCAGATTTCATGCTTATTTCCATTAACATTTTGAAAATGTATTAAAAAGTTAAATAATGTGAAGTGAAGAAAGAAAATAATATTCACATTGCAAATCCCACTTGCAATCCAAGTAATTTACCAAATTTTTCAGTTCCTTCACAGCGCATCCATACAAAACAAACACACAAATAAATTAACCTTTAAATGTTAGGGGGGTTTTTGAGACATTTTACAATCAATGAAAATGCGATTATAATTTCTACATTATACAACAACATCTTATGTAGCAAAACTTTGTAAAAAATAATGTAAAGAAATCTTACAAACTATATAATCTACAAACTTTATATATAAAAAAAAATCAAGCGCAGATTTTGATTTTTACACAAAAGAAAAAGCTCAACTTTGATTAAATGAAAGTGTGCAAAAAAAAAATATGCACAAATATCAAATTATTCTTTCAAAATAATGATAGTAATAAAGTGGGGGTAAAACTGTAGCTTGAAGACCTTTTGATTATATTTAAGCTAAATATATGACTATCATTTGAAAAAGGAAAACTTCCAAAATATGTATGTAAAACTTGAGTCAATGAAATAAAAGATGTTTGTAGATTTCAAAAATTTTCAAAAATTTATAAACCAATCAGATGTAAAATCTATTTTTTAATAATAAATGGTCAGAAAATTGGCAAATTAGATGCAAATATTCACAACCTCCTTCCCAACCTTTCTCTCCACATTAATATATGCTTGATATTTTTTAGTTTGTAGAGTATTCTTTGTGTTTTTGAAGACTGCGGGAGAATGTCCAGTTACTGATTATGATACAATCAGCTAGAATTTAACTCACCAAAAATAAAATATGAATATTCAAAATTCGCATACGTTAAACATGAATTATTCATAAATATTAAAAAATTATCGAGGATAAAATAAATTATTCATATATATTCAAAATTTTATATTCCAACATGAATTGTTCATGGAACAAAAGTTAAAAAATGAATTATTCATAAATATTCAAAATTAACATAAGTTTATATAAATTGTTCATGAATATTCAAAATCAGCATAAGTTCACATCATTTTTTTTTCATAAATTAAAACAAAGTTAATAATAATAAAAAAACCTTTTGGTCAATGCTATCCTATAGCCTTTTCTTTGTGTTTTAGTAAATATTAGTAGAGATTAACAGTGTAGTAATTGTTGTTAATTGTGCACCAAAATGGAATAAAAAAAAAGTGTTTTTTAAAAAGCTAGCTCTAATGTAATACTAGGACGCAGTGCCTTGCCTTTTGACTAGACTAGTGTATTTTCTATGTTACAAAGATAATAATAAAAACAAGAGGGCCATGATGGCCCTAGAATCGCTCACCTGAATATAAAAACTCTCCATGACAAGGAACAAGTTGCCATGGCAACAAGAGTTCTGCATGGAATTAAATTCTTTGAACAATTTTTTAAAGATGACCAACAAAGAAACATTCCTGTGAAGTTTGGATAAATTGGCTTGGCGGTTTATGAGGAAATGTCGTTTAAAGTTTATGGACGGACGCCGGATAAAAACGATCACAAAAGCTCACCATGACAGGTGAGCTGAAAATCGCATTCAGTCTCAAGTTTTCACATAGGCTCCTGGTCTCATAAATTCCACCGGTATATTACATTTATTGGTTATTTTTAAGAGAGAATGAATAATGGTGACAGAGTTGTAAGGTTATAAAATCAAATGTGCCAAAGGAGCAGTCATCTTTGTTAAAGTGATAATACGCCTTTCCCCGAGTGTAAATTGTTAGAGAACAAGTTAAAATAAAAACTTGACATTTTGCCATTATTGTGTTCAATTTTATGTTTGATTATGAAAAAAACTTTATCAATAAGTCACTTGACCAATGAAAATTTCTATAAATATCACTGGGAATATAACAGTAACACGCACTTAATGTTAGAGAGTAGAGCAGTGATTCTGTAATTCAACCTTAGTTTTTATACTGTATCTCATCAACATTTTATTATTGGTTAATCACCATTTTTTTAATAGTAAATCTTTTGAAATATATTACTAATTCAACTTGACAGCGAAAATCATAACATAAAATTGCAAAACAAACGGAGGCCATTTTTCACTTTTTTTATATCCGGATTTCAACAGTTTGCCATTTTAAGTCTTTTTTTTTTTTTTTTACACAGAGTTACTGCAGTATTGCTTTTAAAGTGGCCTTCAGCTTTTATTTTCTGTTGGAAAAAAAACAATTTTGTGTTGTTTCAAACTAAATATTTCAGTAATTTTATCTTGGAAAAGTGCATCATATCCCTGTTAAGCTGTCTTCAAAACAGTGTCCCAAGAGCTATTTATAACGCACATTTCTAAAAATAGAAGATCTGATCCAAACAAATGGTCCTGTTTACAAATTTTCATATAGAGAGCGGACTGGTGGATAGGAAGTCACCGAGGGGTTTCGTTATTGTTTATGTATTTTATCGCAGGCAAATTTTACTTACCACTTCAATTCTTTTAATTTGACAAGTTACAAGAAACCATTTATTGAAAAATAACATATTTAACCTTAAGAAAAGCTGAAGGCCGGTCTAAGCCTTTTTTTGACATATATAAAAAATTTATTGCCATTTTCACTGATTTTTCCTTACATTAATTTTTTTTCCAAAATAAACTACAATCATGAATAACTATATTACTATCAAATAAAAATATTTCACATATTTATTTCTCATTTTAATACCAATAACAGCAGCAAAAAATACATCTAAAATACATCATTCCTAATTTGTTTTCTTGTTATAACAAAATCAGACATTTTTATATACAAATTTTTCTTATGAGACAGACAATGGGTGTATTTATTAGGAATGTACATGTATAATACAGTGATTGCCAATACAGGTATTTTCACATAGTTATTTTCATATTATTTTCACATATCAGATATTTTCACATTATATTCACATATTAGATTATTCACATTATTTTCACATACGTGTAGTTATTTTCACATAGTTATTTTCACATTATTACCAGTAGATATTTTCACAGTTAATTTCATGAAGACATTTCAATATAGGTATTTTACATATTTATTTTCATGTAGGTATTTAACATAGTTATTTTTACATTGGAATTTTCACTTATTAAAATCTGACCTGAAATGTGAAAATTCGTTTATGTAAAATGTGAAAATATCCATTTTAAAATGTGAAAATACCTGTCTAAACAATTACAACAAAGCACCTCTTACTAGGTTAAATGCAGAACTGTCATATAAATATATACCACAAGCAAGTATAAAATGTGAAACAAGAATCTTGCATACTGAAAAAAAAAAGAATTCTATTTGCAAAAAATATGCAGCATTTTTTTTTCCAAAAATCATACATGCATAATATATATGTATAAATATATATCTATACTAACGTTTTTATAAAAAGAACTTTCATTATCTTCAGATATGCAGAAATTTTCTATGGAATTGTATTTGTTAACAGAATATCACAATAATGAAATATCATCTTATTTAGATATGCACTTTATTGAATTTATATTGATAAAGATATGGACTTTTTTCTATGGAATAATTTTTTTTCTCTATGGAATAATGAATTTTTTTTTCCTCTACAGAATAATTTCTATTCTCAAGATGTATCACATATATTTCAAACAATTTACAAATTATTACATCAGTTTACTAAAACTTTATCACTTTTATATATGTAGCATCATTTTCAGAATTTCTAGAATATGTTCAAGTAATTGGAACATTATTTCACATATCTAGGAATTTTAAATATACATACATATACCTTTTTATCACTTCTAAGTAAAAAAATTATATTGACTAATTTGAATGTTACATCACATTACACAAGGAATGTTTCAATTGCTAACAAATACTTTTAAACAATACTTTACACTCTAAACTTTAACTTAAACTAAATTTAAAATCAAAGTGATATGATTTGAATGTTACAATAAATGGAAACTAGAGACCATTTTTGTTATACTCCGATAAACTATTGAATTTATTTGCTCTAAAATAATTTACTAATTGGAGTGTTACATCGCAACACACAAGGAAAATATTTCACTGCTAATAATGCCTTTAAATAAGACTTTATAATTCAAATTAAAATGATTTTAGGCAATCAACAGAAGTCCAAAAGTCTAAATACATAAAATCTGAAATTCTTACATAGATCCCCTTGGAAACTTTAAATGGAAAAATATGCCTAAGATAATAAAGTGCATAAGATAAAAAAGAAATTAAACTGTTAATGAAATTTGTTAGTGATTCTTGGCCTGATTTGAGTTAAAAGCTTTGGGTCATTTTGTATAATATCATCGATAATGTTGAGAAATCTGAGCGCGTCAAAATCAACATTTTTTTAACAAATCTGTTTCGTTGAACTGAAAGTAACAACTGACTGAGAAATATTAGTGACACATCTATTAATGACAGCTTCGGTTTTATCAGTTTTGTAGAACTTCGGTAAGGATAAAAATTATGATAAACCAATCTATCACAGTAACGTTTTTTATCGTTATTATATAAAGTACACGTACATACCAAACATATATCTTAACTCTAGAAAAATTTAAAAAAAAAAAACATTGCATAAATTAAGTTAGTTTAAACTTAACAACAAAAACAAATCATCAACTGACGTACGTTTCAAGGTCAAAAAATATAAAACACCATTTCATTCCTGATTTTCTTTTATAACTACCATTTCATGCCTAATAAAATACGAATGTTGACTGATGCACTTGATTATTAAAAGTAGCTCCTTGCTAAAGAATGTGTTCTTCTTTTAATTTCACCATAATAATGGAGTTCTTGTAGATGCACTTGATTTATATAATATACCCCCTTTCTTATATGATACCGTTGCATCATTTGATTAATTCCAAATTTTAGTTTCTTTTCAATCAAGTTTTAAAAGATAAACTTGAATATACAGAAAAAACTCCTCGTCAGTGAAAATGTTCAATGATGTAGTCACAACATTTGATTCATAATTTTTCCAAATTCCATTTTTTTAATCGAGTTTTAGCAGATGCACTTGAATAGTAAAAGCTCTTTTGAAGGAACATGTTCTATGAAGTATTCACACCTTTTTCCTCCAAATTCCAATTTCAATCGAGTTTTCGGGGATGCACTTGATTATATAATTTAAAACTCCTTTCGGAGGAATATGTTCTATGATCTAGTCACCAGGTTTCCTAAATGTAATTGTTCTGGAATGTCTATACTTTCTAGAGCAATTTTGGAAGGATTAAATGGGAAAGTCACAGAGTATGAGAACTTAAGGTCCATCAAGAGGGACGTTTCCACGTGATCTCTTTCTTTCAATTTTTGTTGAATTTTGCGTATAAAGGATATCGGCACCCGCTCCTCGAACTCATCAACTGGTGTGTATAGGTTTAGAATCTTCACAATCTGTAATTGAAACAGTGAAATAAACATGAAATTCGCACATTGATTTTTTTTCAATATATATATATATATATATATATATATATATATATTTCATGAGCTGTTATTCAGTTTTCTGTGTCTAATATTGCGGTAAAAATTTCTAACACTAATTACGATAAAACGTATTTTACATACAGAACTGAAATGCTACTTATACTATCAAACTAAGATAATATAGAGGATACTCAATAAGTGTAAATTTAATACTAAATTTATTGCATGAGTTGAATAAAATCATATTAAATGATATTGTTTTAGTCAACAAGTTCAATAAATTTAGTATTGAATCTACACAAATGTCAATCTCCTACGCAGTGATCTCCCCTTACAGGAAAAGATCTCTGCCATTACAACATTTTCGTCAAGATTTTTGACGAAATGAATTTTTATATTTATTTAAAAAAGTAAACACGGTTTTGCAAATATTTCAAGACTGTTAGGTGTTATATGTGAACTTAAATAAAAATAATTTTGGAAACATAAATATCATGAAAATAATTTTAATACCGCACCGTTTATTTCCAAAACAATGGCCCTTCTAGAAATGACTTATTCAAGGAATTATTAATTTCGACTCTATGCTTTACAAAAATGATTTTTTTTTCAATCATATCGACATATTTGAGACCAGATTTCAAGTTTTAATGTCACTGTTTATTACAAATAAAACATTTTTTCAAAGATTTCATTGGCGTATAGATCAACACCATTTTTACACAATCATGTGATAAGACCATCATCACGTGATTTGTGAAGGTAGTGGTTACTGGCTGTAGTGTAACTGGTGCCCGGAGTTTGCACAAATGTAGCATTTTATTTATCACATATCAAAATAAGAACAGTTTCAAGTAAAAAAAAAAAAGTCTTTTTTTTCATTGACCCGTCTATAGTGCTTACATTAGTGCGCTTTAACTCTTTGTTTGTATATACATGTAAAGCAATCGATGTAATTTTAAGTGTTATTTCACTAGTGTAATATTAATATTTTAATTCACTAAAGTAATATTATTAATTTAAATGGCTTTATTACACCCCTGCACCTTGGTTTAAATGATAAATTCCAGTTAAAAGACTTGAATGTTGCTTCAAAATTTGTATGAAAATGTCCTAATTTTTCCTTTTTGATAAAACTGGATCTAAAGGTATTTTTCAAATTACGGTACATTCGGATAAATTTCATATAAATAATACCTGTGGGGCTGTTAGTTTGGAGCACATTTCGTACACACTGTCTACGTCTGCATCCGTCTTTCTCGCTTGAAGAAGTTGCGATGCTTGAACAATTGGTTCCAGCGTGTTTCCGGCTCCGGACTCTTGTAGTTTGTTGTCACGAAGCCATTGTTCCAGGTGGGAAAGATTATATCTGCAGTGGAAATAAGAGTAATGTACATTGTATGACTGGAAAAAGACAAGTGGTTTAAAACTTTCATGCAGATTTTAAACCCTGTGACCTTGACCTTTGACACAGTCACCTAAAAAGCAATAGGGGTCACCTAATGGTCATGATCAACAATCAACCTCGATGCCAAATATGCAGACTGAGGGTCAAAAGATTCCTAAGTAATTGTGCGGACAAACTTTTGAAGTCAAGGCCCCTGTGACCTTGACCTAATGACCTTAAAATCAATAGGGGTCATCTAATGGTCATGACTAACCTCAAAGATCATCTTTAAACCAAGAGTTTATAATATATGTACATTTGTATACTCATTACTTAATTTGCATAATATAATTATTCACAATGTAATTTGCATAATTTATTCATTACCTGATTTGCATGCCTTTCGACCAGTTACACATATCTTTTCTCAGCAGTAGATTATTTAGTGCACTAGCACCTAGAAAATAGTATAACTGCCGGAAAATCTGCTTGATTAATTCCGGATCAACTGCGTGCTGCGTTAATGTACGTACAAACTGGTTCATCTGAAATTATCAATAACATTTTACATGTTCATCTAAAATAATCAGTTACATTATACATGTTCATCTGAAATTATCAATTACATTATACATGTTCATCTGAAATTATCAATTACATTATAAATTATCAATTACATTTTATATAATTATACATGTTCATCTGAAAATATCAATTACATTATTACATTATAATACTAATAAACTACATATAACCACAGGAACTTGAAATTACATCAAATGACCAATATTTACAACAATATCCATTAATACCCCCTATCTATACCATAGAGGGGGTATATTTTGGATACTATCGTTAATATTGATAGAGTTTCAAGTTTCTGTGATATAACCATTAAGTATTTCCGTTATATATAATTAGTTAAGGGAAATCATATACAAGAACACGGAGCTGAATGATAATAAAATTTGAATTGGCCGAAATAAAAAGACGACAAAAACTGAACAAGAGCACTATATGCAGCATTAACCCTCATCTGTTAATAACAACTATCAATAAACAATTTTGACAACATTCAAAATCAAAAAGGGGCATAACTCCTAAAATATTGCTTTGAGGATAATGACCCTTGTCTTATATCTGCACCTTGTCATTAAAGTTTCTGCACGATAGACAATGGGGAAAACGATGAAACAACAATGCCCTGACCTGTCTTATTCTAATTATCAGATTAGTGGATACAATAAATATTTCACCACAACCTATTTTTAACAAGAGCACAATGTTTGTGGTTAAATCTATTGTTATTCAAATTAAAGGTCAGAGTAAGAATCTATTTATAGCCTAACTAATTCTTCTAAACAGACAAGCTAAAAATATCATTTGACAGAATCACCGACTGTGACTACAGATTGGTGTCATCACATTATACCAAAATTTTATGTATTAATAATAATTATACAAATCAACATTTTGGGTAAGTTGGCTCCAGGCAGGCAGTATCTTAGGTTCATTAAAATACTTTGGGTGAAGATAAACTTCACGTTGAGAAACTACTTTAGATTCTGTAAATACTTTTGGTTTAGGTGATACTTTGAGTGCATATATTACATCGGGTTTATGTAATATAATACGTTCATATCAGGCAATAAGTCAGGGCCAAATAATAATTTTGGGTACACATTATCCCCTGAATTTTTAAAATGCTTTAGAGTTCTGATAGTGCTATAGGTTCCGATAATTCTTTGGGTTCTAACAATACTTAAGCTTCCAATAATACTAAGGGTTCAAATAATTCTTTAGAATCAGATAATACTTTGGGTTCTAGTAATACTATAGGTTCCAATAATACTTTAGGTTCCAGTAACACTTTGGGTTCCAGTAGTACTTTTGGTTCCAGCTATACTTTGGGTTCCAGTAGTACTTTAAGCTCCCAATAATACTTTGGGTTCCAATAATACTTTGGCTCCCTATAATATTTTTTTTTTTTAACAATACTTACAGATTTCATTAAAGTATCTAGGGAGTGTTCAGGGGTGTCTTCAGCTCGGCTGCTACTTCTACCCCTCAGACCGCTAGGTTTGCTCCCTGTCAGCCCAGCAATGGCTTCATGTTCTAATACTGCTGACACTGCAAAAATAAAGAAATAAAATTTTAAAATCATTCCTGTCCCTCCCAAACAGTGTGAATGGACTTGTCTGATATTCATTTTGAATGATTTTTAACCTGATCAATAAGACTTTATAGAATGGATATGCTCTGCTTTGAATTTGGACCAGTCCATTTTGAAGTTTAAGGGTTTTTTTGACAGATAGAATAAGATGAGCTAATTTGATGTATTGTCTTACTTATTAAGCTACCTTCATCAAATAAAGAGTTTATTTTTATTATTATAATAATTTTAGTTCAATAACCGTTACAACTTGGTAACATCATAATAAAAGGTTACCTATAGATGGTTGAATTGTAGCTTCCATCAACTTGATCAAAGTCTGGTATATCCATACAGCAAGGTCGCTAAACACTTGTCTGTACTCGGCCAGGTCAAAGTTTCGTAAGCAGTGCTCATTCTGCCTGGGTGTGTTTTCAGTCTGAAATTGCTTCTCTCCACTGTATTGTTTTAACGTGTGCAAGAAACGACACGTGTTGGCAAGCCATAGCGTGACCCTCTCAAGATCATCGTGATGTTTCTGTCATAAGAAACGAAAGCATGGATTGTCAGATAAGATAATATCCGTCAACTTCCAACAGGACAGTTTTTTTCCACATATATATGCTCTTAAATGCTGAACTATATTTGTAGAATAAATGACATGGAAATGAAAAGTTTGCCAGCTTAAGTTCAATAGGAAGAGTATTGGATTTGGAATCAAGGGGTCGTTGGTTTGATCCGCAGCAAAATTCTTCATGACAACAGATCTCGGACACCAAGCCTAATGGTCCTGTGTTTACTACAGCTCATTTATATATAATATGTGTTTAATTACTTGAGGAAATTGGCAATTATAGATAATTTATCTACAATAACTGGTTCAATGGACCGATCGTTGGATTAGGACCAATACGATGAGTTAAAATCAGTGTATAAAACATACAAACAATTTTATAACAATTTAAATAATCAAATAATATAATGAATAATCAAATAATATAATGAATAATCAAATACAATATGAATAATAAAATCTGTTCCTGCCAAAGCACAAGAAAGCTTTATAGTCTAGTTACTTTTAAATGTGTTGATTATATTATCAAACTAACCTTGACCACTTTTTTGATTCCATTGATGGTACTAGTAAGGAAGGACCGGACCTTTTCATCGTCGTTAATGTAGTCCGTGTGCCGTACACACATGAATAACAAGTAGGCCGGCAAACCTGGTAAAAATGCCGACGTTACCTTCGGTTTCAAATCTGAAATACGTAAAAATCATAATATACAATGTATGGTAATATAATATGATGTTTTGTAATGTTGATTTTCATTGGATAATCTTTTAACTACATTATTCAGTGGATTATTATGTGTTCACATAGCATTTCTTTCATAATAAACTATATTTGAAACAACAAATGAGATTTTTCTGAGATTCAAAGAATTTTTTCCCCATTATTCATAGGCAGTACAAAAATTCAAGCTTATGGGCTAAATCAGAAAACTTGCCCCCCATCCCTTCAATCTTTATCAGCACATACCTAAAATTAACACTTTTTTTCTGTTGAACTTGGTAAGATAAGCACCTCACCCCCGTCCCTCATACATTTTTCATGATATAGCTAAATTAAGTTTGTTTAACAGTTGGTCATTTAATTTTATGTCCCTTACCTTTTTTGTCACTACCCCTCCCCTCCCCCTAGAATCAGCACTATTCAGCTGGCTTGCTTAATACTGACCCTAAACCCACCCCATTCTTTCTTCACTTCCACTCTTTTTTATCACCACATACCTAGAATAAGCACTTTAATCAGTGGTCCCTCATCTTCTTTCTTATATTCCAACATTCCCATGTAGTTCCTCTCCCGATGTTTTATCTGCGCCACATTCTCCACACTCTTCGTCTCCTCTTTCTCTAGCTCCGCCTGAATCTCCGCTGCTGTAATCATTATAAAAACAGGGTTTATCTTGACATATCTTATGTGCGATTTTCACAATGCTGCTGTTATCAAAATAAAAACATGGTTTATTTTGTCATATTTTGTGTGCGATTTTTCACAATGCCGCTGTTATCATAATAAAAACATGTTTTATCTTGATATATCTTATGTGCGATTTTCACAATGCCGCTCTAATCATAATAAAAACATTGATTATCTTGATAAATCTTGTGTGCAATTTTCACAATGATACTGTTATCATGATAAAAATATGGTTTATCTTGACATATCTTGTGTGCAATTTTAGTTAAAAAGCGACAAAACTCAAAAAATATAACTTTTCAGAATTAAGCCCCTTGTCTACCAACTGAAAATTGTCATCATAAGCAAGTATTCCAAGTTTCATGTTGATAAGTTTTAAAAACGTTTAAAAAAATAGGCTACATTAAGGTTTTTGCACCATGACGACGACAACAACGACGACAATGCAGTCATCATAATAGCTCGACTTTCTCTTTGAAACAGACAAGTCTATAACATCAAATGATAAAAGAAATAAAAATAATCAAAAAAAAAAATGTCACATAAACATGAAAAATCTAATATCACTTAACTCTAAACCTGCAAGAATCTAAAGAATTTTTTTTCTTTGCCACCAGTATAGAGCTAGGATAGACCACTCGGATGCTTCTAAACTGTTGGTAGCTAATTACATTATTCAAAACTAAAACCATGGCAAATCCAGTACAAGAATTCAGCAAGTGAGTAGTAATAACTAAAATTACCACTGAAATTTGGCATATTTCAAATAAAATCAAAAGAAAAGTCACACACAAAAATCACAGAAATTTCACTAGTTTTATGTAACAGGAATAATCACAGAATGTTCTATATAACATTAAATAAAGTAAAACATAATTCACTTAAATAATGCAATCTTAATGTAACATGAATGATCACAGAATAATCTATGTAACATTAAATAAAGTAAAAATAAATCGAAGAAATAATGCAATCTTAAAATGTAACATGAATAATCACACAATATTCTATATCACATTAATTATAGTAAAAATAAATCACAGAAATAATGCAAGCTTAATGTGACATAAATAATCACAGAATATTCTATATAACATTAAATAAAGTAAAAATAATTCACAGTAATAATGCAAGCATTATGTAACATATTCACACGATGGTAAAAATCATAAACACAAAATATTAAAATTTATTTTCAATAAAAGCTTACCCGTGGTGGGACTAAGGGACATAGAGGATGAAAAGGGGGCACGGAAAATCTTGGGGATCCCTGGTTATAGCAGCAATAATTAGAAACAGTATCAAAGGTAAGTTTATTAAGAATTGAAAAGAAAAAACTAGAACTGCCACTATCATGGCGTGAATACCCCGCATACCACTTTGTCAGAATCAACAGTGGCCATTTAGAGCTCAAGGACAACCTCCCTGCCAAATCTGAGGTTACTAAGCCAGTGCATTGCTAAGTTATGTATTCTACATGCTTCAAATGTGAAAATGTCAAAATCAAAACATTGCAGACAGGACATTCTTTAGAAATTGAGAAGAAAAGCTTTTTTTTGTCAAGGTCCTGTGACCTTGACCTTTGACCCAGTGACCTCAAAATCAATAGGGGTCATCTACTAATCATGATCAACATCCATGCCAAATATGAAGACTGTGGGTCAAAGGAATCTTAAGTTAATGGGTGGACAAACTTTTTGAAGTCAAAGTCCCTGTGACCTTGACCTTTGACCTGGTGACCTCAAAATCAATAGGGGTCATCTACTAATCATGACTAGCCTCCATGCCAAATATGAAGACTGTGGGTTAAAGGAATCTTAAGTTATTGGGCGGACAAGCTTTTTGAAGTCAAGGCCCCGGTGACCTTGACCTTTGACCTGGTGACCTCAAAATCAATAGGGGTCATCTACTAATCATGACTAACCTCCATGCCAAATATGAAGACTGTGGGTTAAAGGAATCTTAAGTTATTGGGCCGACAAGCTTTTTGAAGTCAAGGCCCCTGTGACCTTGACCTTTGACCTGGTGACCTCAAAATCATTAGGGGTCATCTACTAATCATGACTAAACTCCATGCCAAATATGAAGACTAAGGTTCAAAGGAATCTTAAGTTATTGGGCGGACAAGAAAAAACCGACGGACAGCCGGACGGACATATTTGGCAGACGTGTTTGTGGGGTTATTCCTTTGATCTCTTAACCCCACAAGAGCAAATTTTTTAACCCCATAAGAGCATTTTTAACCACATAATACATGTCTCTACGGAATGAACCCCATACAGAGTGCCTGTACATAAACCTAAACCTCATCATGTAGCTCTCGTTTGCTCGGACGGACAGCCGGACGGACAAGCTGATTCCAGTATACCCCCCTTACAACTTTGTTGTGCGGGGTATAAAAAAGAAAAAAAGAAGGAAAGAAATCAGGTGAACACAGTTTAAAGAATCAACATTTCTCATTTATAGCATAAAAAATGTATATTTTAATTTAAAATCTGAATGGTATAGCTTTGTAAATTAAGAAATAAATATCCATGTTTTGTATGGTGTTGTAGAATAATGCATGGTTTAAGCCATATAGACATAAAGGTCGATAAGTTCAAGAGATGAATTTCAAAGAATTTGAACAGTAAACCTGTGCATTACTGTTGTACTACAGTGCAATAAAAATAAGCATCTGTTCCATTTTAACATTTTAATAGAAAGAGAATCAAGTCAGAATGAATTGAGAGGAGAAGAAATTTTAATGACGTAATTTGGTTTTTTGACCTCATATCTGATGACACATGGCACAATAATTCCTTTCCTTATTCAGCGCATAAACGTGTACTTATGCACTCAGCTGCCCTGTCTGTTTAAGAAATAGTGTTTGTTTGTTTGTTTGTTTCATTTTACGCCTTTTCCCAACAGTATTTCAGTCACATAGGCAAATAGTTTCCTAACCATCGTTCCTGCAGAGTTACATCAGTACTAGACTACCTTCCTCCGCGCTAAACTACCAAAGCATTTCCCTAGGATTGAACCCACGCCTGAGAAGTAACTGGATTAGAAGTCATCGACTCTAACCCCTCGACCACGGAGGCGGTAAAGAAATAGTGTGAAGTGTGATAAAATGTTGAATTTATACTGTATGGATAGAAATTGCCTTATTCAACTTTCTCTAATAACCATAAATTGTAAAACCCCTTTGACCACAAATTGAGCTATAAATAGAATTGGCTAAATATAGATTGTGCTAAAAATAGATTTGCTAAAAATAGATATGCTAAAAATAGATTTGTGTATACCTTCTCCATCTTTCATTCTCTTTGCATACACCTTTAACATTTTCTTTAGCTTTCTAATCTGGTCAGCTTGTTTGTCAATCACTTCTCTCAAATCCTGCAAATGGTAACAAACTCTCAAATTATTTAACTTTCACAATGCCACAATGGCAAAATACCGTTCAGCCATGCTGCCAATATACAGCCATGCTGTCCTGCAAGCATTATTTAAGTAGTCTTTACATTGTATTATTTACAAATAAAAATGACCAGGTTGCCTGAAATCAAGTTAATTTTATTAATATTTTAATTGTTTTCTTATAAATAACAACATCAAAATAACACTTATAAAGCAATGATACAGACAGATGGAGGGTGGCCTTTTTGCGCCCATGTAAGATAGGGGTTAGAGATTAACTAAGACATCATAACAACTCTGCCACAAGAAGACCTCAAAATACCTCACACAGGTTTTTTTTCCTCTACGTACCAAATTTTCCGAAGTAAGTCTTGTTATTTCATGTTGCATGGTGGCCTCAATCTTCGCATCGGGTGTCATTGACAGACTCTGAAATCACAACATTAGAATAATGAAATATCTTTCTACCAACATTTCTTGTGAAAAAATGTAAAGGGTGGAAACCATCGAAAATCTCTGAACAAACGACAATATTACAAATTGTGCATATGTTTTAAACCATATTCTTATCAAGTACACAGTCTCTAAATGCTCAACAGAGGGAAGAAATTTATTCAAAAGGGATTCTACCCCCAGCAGACAAGATTCTACCCCCAAGCAGAGACAGGACTCTATCCTCAAGCAGACAGGATTCTACCCCAAAGCAGATAGGATTCTTCCTTCAAGCAGACAGGATTCTACACCCACAGACAGGATTCTACCTTCAAGCAGACAGGATTCTACCCCAAGCAGACAGGATTCTACCCCCAAGCAGATAGGATTCTATGCCTAAGCAGACTGGATTCTGACCCCACGTAGCCTTGATTCTACCTCCAAGCAGACAGGATTCTACCCCTAGCAGACAGGATTCTACCCCCACGTAGCCTGGATTCTACCTCCAAGCAGACAGGATTCTTCCCCTAGCAGACAGGATTCTACCTCCAAGCAGATAGGATTCTATACCTAAGCAGACTGGATTCTACCCCCACGTAGCCTGGATTCTACCTCCAAGCAGACAGGATTCTACCCCTAGCAGACAGGATTCTACCCCCACGTAGCCTGGATTCTACCTCCAAGCAGACAGGATTCTACCCCTAGCAGACAGGATTCTACCCCCACGTAGCCTGGATTCTACCTCCAAGCAGACAGGATTCTTCCCCTAGCAGACAGGATTCTACCCTAAACAGACAGGATTCTACCCTAAACAGACAGGATTCTTCCCCTAGCAGACAGGATTCTACCCCTAGCAGACAGGATTCTACCCCCCACGTAGCCTGGATTCTACCTCCAAGCAGACAGGATTCTTCCCCCAGCAGACAGGATTCTTCCCCTAGCAGACAGGATTTTACCCAAGCAGACAGGATTCTACCTCCAAGCAGACAGGATTCTACCTCCAAGCAGACAGGATTCTACCTCCAAGCAGACAGGATTCTTCCCCTAGCAGACAGGATTCTACCCCCACGTAGCCTGGATTCTACCTCCAAGCAGACAGGATTCTACTCTCAAGCAGACAGGATTCTACCCCTAAGCAGACTGGATTCTACCTAAGCAGACAAGATTCTACCTAAGCAGCCTGGATTCTACCTCCAAGCAGACAGGATTCTACTCTCAAGCAGACAGGATTCTACCCCTAAGCAGACTGGATTCTACCTAAGCAGCCTGGATTCTACTCCAAGCAGACAGGATTCTACCCCCAGCAGACAGGATTCTTCCCCTAGCAGACAGGATTCTACCCCCAGCAGACAGGATTCTACCCCCAGCAGACAGGATTCTACCCCCAGCAGACAGGATTCTACCCCAGCAGACAGGATTCTGTCACCTCAAACCACGAAAGCAGCATCCTCAATCTGTCAAGAGATATCACTTATATTCACAATATAAAAACGTAGCACATTTTACATATTTTTTTCCATACCAAGTAGAATACTATCCTACCAGAGCAAAAATGGAACAAAATATTACAAATCCACACACAGGCCGACAATGACAACACTTCAATTCCCATTAATTTTCACCATCTCTTACTTTTTTTATAATAATTTTACAATTTATATATCAAATTTCATTCTCACATATTTACCCCAACAGATGTATCATTATTCATTATAGATATTAAAGATATACATCAACTCCTAACATTGCATATTATTGAAACCCATTAAAGATAATTTACTCAATAATATCAGATAACATAGAGGATATTTGTTTGTTTCAGTGTAAGATCGAAAAATATTTCACCGAGTGAACACCAGATGCAATATTTTCCACGAGTGGCGTAGCCACGAGTGAAAATATAATAGCTGGGGTTCACGAGTGAAATATTATTTGATCTTACATGTAAAACAAACAAATTTTCTGTTTATTTCATGATTTTTTTAACGATTTTTACACCATTTTACTGATTTTTGCCGCGTAACGTCATGCTCTTATCTTCATGACGTCATCAAATAATGACGTCACAATGTTGAAGCAAAATATAATTCCATGATTATTTTTAGATTTTAGATGTTTTTCAGCACAACGTTCGTAAATATTTACGAACTACAGTTATCACGTACATTTTTTATCATGATTGACTACATTTCCGCTGAAAAAAACATTCATTAATGATCAATATTTTATTTTTACGCCAAATATAGTTCGGCTACTGTGAAATTATATTTGGTAATCATTACTGTGAAATTATCAGAATATAATTAACCGTTATAATTCAGTAATCTACTGCAAAACATGTAATAAAAAACTATCTTTCATCGTACAGTTAAATAGCTTTATCAATTCACATCATTATGCATGTGATGAAAAAAAAAATGAATTTATATTTATCACATAAAATGAACAAGCATTATTATTTATTTTTGCTGGGACCAAAAATGATATCAGCCCTTGCCACCAGTATAGAGCCAGGCCAGTCAGCACATCCATGCAGTCTGACCAGGCTCTATACTGTTGGCTGAATAACTCCAAATTTTCCTCATGACATCCCTAAAACTGATTATGGACTGTGCCTAAAATAAAAGGTCGACAAGTCCATTTAAGAAAATTCAATTAGGCAGGTTAAGAGTTATAACCCTTCAATTTGTATTGACCACAATTATGCCTCCAGAATTGAGCCAAAATAATTCAATAACATCAAACCTGAGAAAACTGTACTAAGATTTAATGAAAAGTAAAAAGATCCAGAAAATAAGAAATAATAATTTACATGTTATGGGTGACCAATGATTGATTGTTCAGTATTTATAACATGATATTTCTACTGCAGTAACTAACACAGTAAAGGATATTTTTTTAAATTTTAACCTATTTTTTCCCCCATAATTTTCATGAAATTTGGCATAAATTTGGAGGCACAGAAGCAACAGAATCATTTCTTCAATAACTAAGACTTAACACTAAATTTATAATACCACTCGGCAACATCCAAAATCTAAATCAGGCCTCCTTAAACGTGTTGTTTTGCACATTTATGAGCGCATACTTAAGTATAAGCTATAACTATATTTGACAGTTTTAGACATTATTACATAAATTTAAACACTTAATATGTCAAGTTTTGTAGTACTATCATGCTAACAAAGTTTGTTCAGAAATATATCATGCCACTATTTTGTAAGTATGTTCTTTGATCATGCTTTTGAACCATTTGACTGTTTATAAATTTTCAAAACAATAAACTGCAAACCAGTCAAAAATTAAAACAATCTCATTGGTCAATTTCAAATATCATTTCAGAGGCAACCAATCAGAGGGGATGAAATGTTGACTGGTCTTCAGATCAAGCTTATCAAACTGACTGGATTAAGCCTACAAAAACTGTACAATGAACATGCCATTAAAACAGAAATCATAAAACATTCTAAATTAAAATTAATATGCTTTACCTTGACAGAAAAGGTCACTCTCAGAGTATGCATGAAACTGATTTCAAACTATAAAAGGTACATTTCTCAGTAACCATGTGAACAAAGCAAACTGACCTAATTGATAAAAAGATTAAGTTAGGCATGGGAGGTTTATTTGAAGACTTTATCTTTAGCAGTCTGTTTCAAATTAAGTAAGAAAAATATAAATTTGGACAAATAAGAACAACAACAAGAGGTCCATGATGGCCCTGAGGTCGCTCTCCTGTATATAGGCCCCCCCAACCCCCACTCCCCCAATGTTGCAGAGCCAATTTATACCCCAGGGTTTTATTTGCACAAACTTGGTAGACACCCATAAGAAGATGTTTCATGCTAAACATTTAAGTTCTAGCTCATTGGGCTTTTTAAAAGAAGATTTTTTTTAGTTTTTACTATACACATATAGTTAAAAACAATGACACCCCTGGGGCCGGGCCAGTTTTGACCCCAGGGCTTTTATTTGAACAAACTTTGTAGACACTTACTAAAAGATGTTTCATGCTTAATAATCTAAACTCTAGCTATTTGGGTTTTTTCAAAGAAGATTTAAAATTTTTGCTAAACACATATAAAGAAAATCAATGACCCCCGGGGCGGGGCCAATTTTCACCCCTGGGCTTGTATTTGAACAAACTTGGTAGACACCTATTAGAACATGTTTGATGCTCAATATTTTAGCCATAGCTCTTTGAGTTCTTTAAAAGAAGATTTTTTAAGTTTTTAATATATGCATATAGGGAAAATCAATGACCCCCGGGCGGGGCCAATTTTCACCCCAGGGCTTTTATTTGAACAAACTTGGTAGACACCCATTATAAGATGTTTCATGCTAAATATCTTAGCTCTAGCTCTTTGGGTTCTTTAAAAGAAGATTTTTCAAGTTTTTACTATATGCATATAGGGAAAATCAATGACCCCCCGGGGCGGGGCCAATTTTGACCCCAGGGCTTTTATTTGAACAAACTTGGTAGACACACACTAGAAGATGTTTCATGCCAAATATCTAAGCCTTAGCTGTTTGAGTCCTTTAAAAGAAGATTTTTAAGGTTTCAATATATGCATATAGGGAAAATCAATGACCCCTGGGGCGGGGCCAATTTTCACTCCAAGGCTTTTATTTGAACAAACTTGGTAGACACCCATTAGAACATGTTTCATGCTAAATATCTTAGCTCTAGCTCTTTGGGTTCTTTAAAAGAAGATTTTTTAAGTTTTTACTATATGCATATAGGGAAAATCAATGACCCCCGGGGCGGGGCCAATTTTGACCAAAGGGCTTTTATTTGAACAAACTTGGTAGACACTCACTAAAAGATGTTTCATGCCAAATATCTAAGCTCTAGCTCTTTGAGTTCTTTAAAAGAAGGTTTTTTAAGTTTTTACTATATGCATAATGGGAAAATCAATGACCCCCGGGGCAGGGCCAATTTTGACCCCAGGGCTTTTATTTGAACAAACTTGGTAGACATCAATTAGAACATGTTTCATGCTAAATATCTTAGCTCTAGCTCTTTGGATTTTTTAAAAGAAGATTTTTTAAGTTTTTACTATATGCATATAGGGAAAATCAATGACCCCCTGGGGCGGGGCCAATTTTGACCCCGGGGCTTTTATTTGAACAAACTTGGTAGACACTCACTAGATGATGTTTCATGCCAAATATCTAAGCTCTAGCTTTTATGGTTTTTTAAAAGAAGATATTTAAAGTTTTTTCTTTCGGTTGCAATGGCAACCAGAGTTTTGCATGGAATTAAATTCTTTGAACAATTTTTAAAGGTGACCACCAAAGGAACATTACTGTGAAGTTTGGATGAAATTGGCTTAGTGGTTTATGAGGAGATGTCATTTAAAGTAAAAGTTTACGGACGGACGCCGGACAAACGGACGCCGGACAAAAAGCGATCACAAAAGCTCACCCTGTCACTTTGTGACAGGTGAGCTAAAAATCAAACACACCTTTGAAATTGAACATGTTAAAAATTTCTTGAACAAAATAAACAATGCATTCCTGGCTTCAAGGTAAGTACAGTTTGTTAATGAAACCTGAACAGAAATGTTTTCAGGGTAACAAACTCGCTTTTAACATTCCATTCAACTTTTGCCTACTTACCCTTTTATGTCTGCATCTTAGACACTAAAATTAAGAATTCACCCATATTTTAAACCCTTAGCACACTAGAATATCTTAAATGGACTTGTCCGTTTTTCAATCTGGACCAAACCATTCCATCATTTGAAGTAAACATTTTAAAATATTCACTTACAGAAAAGCCAACAGTGTGGACCAAGACCTGCCAGCACATCATAAGTGCAGACCATGATATGATGGCTCAGATATGACAGCTTATCTTGGTTCACACTGATATTTTTGTTGATTCCCCCTCCCCCCAGACTAATGCATTGCCTTAATATTATTAACAGACCTACCCAGGAAAGAGAATATAAATATTGGTGCCATGAATGGATCCACTTTTACATGGAGAGGGTTCATTGTGAAGCTTCTTAAATATATTTTAAATCTTACATGTTGTTTTAAACATTCTTACATGTATTTTATATCTTAACCTGATGGAACCAAAGGGGACTAGCCTTTGCCACCACCAGTATTAGAGCCAGGCTAGCCTTCACATCCATGAAGACTGACCATTTAGGCTCTCAACTGTCGGCTGGATTACTTCAAATTCCCATCTTTAACATTCTCAAACCTGATTATGGGCACAATAGCAGCTGGACAAGTCCATTTAAGAATATTTAGCTCTTTACTGAGGATTAAGCTCAATGTTTGTAATTTTATGTTGAACAACTTTAAACTTTTAAATGGACTGTTCCAAATTCAAAGCTGGGCTGGTAAATATAAAGTCAGCTGTTCAATAAAGGCTTACTACTTTTTCTAAGATAGAAGATCTTTTTTTTTAAGTTTGCATGCAGGTACCTATTAGAAAACATGCAAGACTTTCATATTATGCAAATTTTACACAATCTGTATAAAATTATATCACAAAAGAGCAACATGTGTCACTTAATTCAGTGAATCTTAAATTATACATAATATACAGGAATATAAAACTTAAATAACATAATAAACAACACCAAAAACAAATTTTGGGGGCACTACTTCATGATATTATTTAAAGGGGATCTGTTTAAATATGGATAAATTTTACTTTCACAAAAACAACAACATTTATTTTACGTACTACTCTTATATCACTCAGCTATTGTTGTGAAAGGGAGATAATAGAAAAAAATGTATTAAATATCACAAAGTTCCTGACTTTTTTATAATATTTACCTCCCTTGACAAAATGGCAGACATTTTGGGTGTAAATATTCATTATATAATCTCTTCACAGTGATTACCTCCCTTTGCAGATTGTACTGATAAGGGGAGATCACTGCATAGGAGATTGATACATTATATGTGACAAAAACATCTTATTTAGGTGAATTTTCAAATTATTTTATACATAATTAAAACATCTTTTTACATTTAATATGAAATGGATTTTTTTTATCTTTTCTTAAGCATAAAATATATTGTAATAACCTTAAAATGGGGGCCATGGAAGGTAATACACACAGGACCATTTCATAATGTCTAAGATGAGCATCACTATTATCAGCAAAAAGACTAGTAAAGAAATAAGATATCAAAAGTAAAACCAAAATATAATCAATGCTTATGCATCAGACCTAACCTTTCTCTAAATATTCTGACATTCAACTTTTTTTGCATTAAAATTGCTTACCAGGTCCTGACCAACCAACAAATATGAAAAAAAGCTTATGAATATTGCTAAGGTAGATACTATCTCATACACAAGTAAATACCATACTTGAGCCATAGGTGACACTGTTTGTTAACACTATAATCGCCTTTTTTTTAAGTTAAAATCATTACCAAGCATTATGGCTGACACCATCTTGTATAATATTATGCACAAGACTTTTTGCTGATACTGTCTTATATATGAATATATATCATACCCAAGTATAGCTTACACCATCTTAAAAGACACTGGATAGTAATATTTATAATACAAAATATCTTAAAGCAGGTTTAAAATGACTTAATAGTAATATAGCAATACCAAAATCTTAAAGCAAGAATCATTTTTATAAAAGGCTGAATAAAATTCCAATAACACTCAAGCTCTTTGGATGACACTGTTTTATACTCGTAGAAGAGATAATAGTAATACTAATCATACCGAAAGTCTTATGACTGACACCGTTTTATATATGAGTTAATACAGTAATCGAGTCTTAAAGCCGACAGCGTCTTATATATGAGTTAATACAGTAATCGAGTCTTAAAGCCGACACCGTCTTATATATGAGTTAATACAGTAATCGAGTCTTAAAGCCGACACCGTCTTATATATGAGTTAATACAGTAATCGAGTCTTAAAGCCGACACCGTCTTATATATGAGTTAATACAGTAATCGAGTCTTAAAGCTGACACCGTCTTATATATGAGTTAATACAGTAATCGAGTCTTAAAGCTGACACCGTCTTATATATGAGTAAATACAGTAATCGAGTCTTAAAGCTGACACCATCTTATATATGAGTTAATACAGTAATTGAGTCTTAAAGCCGACAGCGTCCTATATATGAGTTAATACAGTAATTGAGTCTTAAAGCTGACACCGTCAGTAATTGAGTCTTAAAAGCTGACACCGTCTTATATATGAGTTAATACAGTAATCGAGTCTTAAGCCGACACCGTCTTATATATGAGTTAATACAGTAATCGAGTCTTAAAGCTGACACCGTCTTATATATGAGTTAATACAGTAATCGAGTCTTAAAGCTGACACCGTCTTATATATGAGTTAATACAGTAATCGAGTCTTAAAGCCGACACCGTCTTATATATGAGTAAATACAGTAATCGAGTCTTAAAGCTGACACCGTCTTATATATGAGTAAATACAGTAATCGAGTCTTAAAGCTGACACCATCTTATATATGAGTTAATACAGTTAAAATTGAGTCTTAAAGCCGACAGCGTCTTATATATGAGTTAATACAGTAATTGAGTCTTAAAGCTGACACCGTCTTATATATGAGTTAATACAGTAATTGAGTCTTAAAGCCGACACCGTCTTATATATGAGTTAATACAGTAATCGAGTCTTAAGCCCGACACCGTCTTATATATGAGTAAATACAGTAATCGAGTCTTAAAGCTGACACCGTCTTATATATGAGTTAATACAGTAATCGAGTCTTAAATTCCTGACACCGTCTTATATATGCTAACTACAGTAATGATCTAAGCCGTCTTATATATGAGTTAATACAGTAATTGAGTCTTAAAGCTGACACCGTCTTATATATGAGTTAATACAGTAATCGAGTCTTAAAGCCGACACCGCGTCTTATTATATGAGTTAATACAGTAATCGAGTCTTAAAGCCGACACCGTCTTATATATGAGTTAATACAGTAATCGAGTCTTAAAGCTGACACGTCTTATATATGAGTTAATACAGTAATCGAGTCTTAAAGCTGAAACCGTCTTATATATGAGTTAATACAGTAATTCGAGTCTTAAAAGCTGACACCGTCTTATATATGAGTATTATATACAGTAATCGAGTCTTAAAGCCGACACCGTCTTATATATGAGTAATACAGTATTATGGAGTCTTTAAAGCCGACACCGTCTTAATATGAGTTTAATACAGTAATCGAGTCTTAAAGCTGACACCGTCTTATATAGAGTTAATACAGTAATCGAGTCTTAAAGCTGACACCGTCTATATATGAGTTAATAACAGTAATCGAGTCTTAAAGCCGACACCGTCTTATATATGAGTTAATACAGTAATCGGTCTTAAAGCCGACACCGTTGAGTTAGTCGAGTTAAAGCTGACACCGTCTTATATAGTTAATACAGTAGTCCTTAAAGCTGAACCGTCTTATATATGAGTTAATACAGTAATCGAGTCTTAAAGCCGACACCGTCTTATATATGAGTTAATACAGTAATCGAGTCTTAAAGCCGACACCGTCTTATATATGAGTTAATACAGTAATCAAGTCTTAAAGCTGACACAGTGTTATATATGAGTTTATACCTTAATCAAGTCTTGTAGCTGACATCGTCTTATAAAAAAATTAAATGAGTTAATACCGTAATTGCGTCTTAAAGCTGACATCATCTTATATATGAGTTTATACAATGTCTAATATATGAATAAATACAATACCTGCTGAATAAGTTTATGCTGTTTATCATTTTCTTTTCGTAGTTCTTTAACCTCGGCGTCATAGTCTCCGACCTTCTTTTTCAACTCGCCTTCTGCCTTTTGTAACTGGTTTTCTAACAATCTGAAAAAAGTTGTAGAATAGACCCTTGAATAAACAGGTCTTATTATACTCGTTTTTCTATTTCAATGCAATTAAAAATACATGTATGACACTTAACACCCTAATATTTCCAATCTGCAAAATCAGCATTATAAATTTATTCACTCACAAAAATTTCTGACTTTATAGTACATAGAAAACAAACAACATGCATGGTGCGATAATTGTGAAATCTTCTTTGTTATAGGGATAAAGTTATTTTTTCCTTTACATTTGATGGTTTTTACTTTTTTTTGATCAAAGAGTTATTACTGTAAAATTCCTATTAAATGCCCCCGGGGGATTTTCCATAAAGGGGGCTATGAATACCACATCATTTTTCCTAAATCTAAAAATCATTGATAATACATTAAAGGGACTCCACTGAGGTTTTTTTGTCATTACAGGACTGGAAATAACTTTTTGAGATTATTACTCCATTTGATGAAGATCTATACTAATAACTTATGTGCAAAATTTCAGATCATTAGCTTGCTCGGTTTTTCCAGAATAATTATTAGTAAATAGTGAAAAATGACCAAAATTTTAAACGCTTTTCACTGAAATCGGACTGAGAATAGCACAGCCATATGATTTTCAATGTATTTCTTCTATATTTCTTGGTTATATTTTATTAATATTTATGTTTTAAGTGCTCATGTTTTATATATGTGAAAAAATAAAATTTCATTTTTTTTAGGCTTTTAAACCTCAGTGGAGTTCCTTTAAGTGCATTTTTAGTGTTGGTTAAAAAGGGTTTCAAAGTTTATATGATACATTTTTGTGTTAAATATTAAATAAAATAGAATTAGAAGGATTTGAATAAAATTATGGATTTACTCATAAGTTCAGCACTGACAAGTAGATTTTTTTCGTATCCAAAAAGCCTGGAGTGGCCTTTATTAGGGGAGGGGCGTTTAATAGTAATTTTACAGTATACTGTATAGGAATTTTATGGTATATTATTTACCTTTAACCCACCAAATATAAGAAATGGACTTTACCTGCTTTTAATTTGGAACAGTCCATGCAAAATTTAAGGGATTTCAACATCAAAATTCAATTATTTAGCTTAACTTACAATAAAGAGAACGTAATGCATGAGCTGGCCAAGCTATTCAAATGACAAAGGCTTAAAAAGACAAAATCAGTCCAAACACGGTAAGGGTTACATTTTCACATTACTCTATGTTTCCATGTAGCCTTTATATTAATCATTTCAAACCACATGACAAAATGATAAACAGTCGGTAGAAGAATTTGTATAAAGATATTCGTGTCACAATAATAAAACTTAAAATTTAACTTCCTTTCTACACAATCTCACAGATATTGCCCATTATTTATGTATATCTGCTCTATATAATTTACATAAAAAGGAAGCTATGTTTCAAGGCGTCAGATTTCTAACATCTTGGTAAGCCCCCCCCCCCCCCCCCCCCCCCCCAAAAAAAAACTTAAAAAAAAACAAACTTACCAGTTATTGGTGTCTGTGGATTACTTAACATGCATATTGATATATCTTAACACTTTAAAGGTAAATGCCCCCAGATGAAGAGGAAATTCAAAAAAAAATTCATACCTCTTTAAAACATTATTCATAAAAGGTTGTGTAAAAAAAATTTACCTTTAATATTTGAAGGATTCTAAAATCCACTTGCTGGAACTGGCCAGAACTATTACTGACCGGAACTAACCAGCACTGGTGTCATTATAAGGATATGAGGTCATAACTCATGACCCTGTCAGTGCTCAAACCAACTACCCCTTATGTCAATAAAGAGGCAAGACATCTTAACAACAAGGTCATCATTCCTGCTTCATTTCTATCTATGACTGATTTATAACAAAAATAAGTATCAAATTGTTCTTACCTTCAAATTTTTCAAGGGCATCCTAAGAATTGACTATAATTACAAGTAAACATGGCTGAAATTAGCAAAAATATAACCAGTCTACCACAACATTACTTAACCAGTCTAACACAACATTACTTAACCAGTCTACCACTACATTACTTTACCAGTCTACCACAACATTACTTAACCAGTCTACCACAACATTACTTAACCAGTCTACCACTACATTATTTAACCAGTCTACCACAAAATTACTTAACCAGTCTACCACTACATTACTTAACCAGTCTAACAAAATATTACTTAACCAGTCTAACACAACATTACTTAACCAGTCTAACACAACATTACATAACCAGTCTACAACAATATTACTTAACCAGTATACCACTACATTACTTAACCAGTCTAACACAACAATACTTAACCAGTCTAACACAACATTACATAACCAGTCTACCACAAAATTACTTAACCAGTCTACCACTACATTACTTAACCAGTCTAACACAACATTACTTAACCAGTCTAACACAACATTACTTAACCAGTCTACCACAAAATTACTTAACCAGTCTAACACAACATTACATAACCAGTCTACCACAACATTACTTAACCAGTCTAACACAACATTACTTAACCAGTCTAACACAACATTACTTAACCAGTCTACACAACATTACTTAACCAGTTTACGCAACATTAAGGAATAAGCCTTTAATGTTCATTTCAATACTGGGCATAACCTTATAAAATATGCAATCAAAATAAAAGAGTGAAAAGTCTTACGCTTTAATGTTTTCATTCACTGGTGAAGACATTACATGTCTCTCTGGCAATGCTGGCAGACATTCCTCGCACTGACAGCTCTCATCACCTTCAAAACTTGCGTCTGTAACATGCTGCGAATTACCTCCCTTAGTATGTCCTAGTTTCATACATTTTATGCAATTCCCATCTGAACACAAGTTAAAATCGTGTTTGAGTACCTCATTGCTAATAAGATATTCATTGTCATGGACTTCATTTGAACCATTTAATTGCACACTGCCCATATGTTTTGATAAAATGTTCTCATCACTTCCTTTATGAGTGCTAGAATAATCAGAGTGACTTCCCCTAGTTCTACTAGAAGTATCAGAGTAACTTCCCTTACTCCTACTAGACCTGTAAGAGTGCTCTGTCCCAGAATCAAAGCTTTTGTCAGAATGATGTTGCAACTCTTCTAGCTGTCTAAGATCCAATTTCTGAAAGTGCTGTGACCTTTGACCATGCCCATGTGACCATCGTTGAGACTGATTGCATTTTTCTGAAGAACATTCTTCAGATCTGTGCTCAGTCTGAGCAAGGCATTCAGGACAACTACAGTTTTGTTTATCGGGAACGTCAGCCTCATTAAATCTGTTTTCTCTGTCGAAAACACAATGTTCACAATTACAAATGTAGTTCGGATCTTTCCAATGTGTTACACAGTCTTCACAGTAGCAAGTTGCCTCCCTTGGTTCCGGTGACAGAGCAACTTCAATAGTTCTGTTACTTGTCGGAACGCAATTATCGCATAAGCAATCAACTGCTTCTGCTTGGTTGATACAATCCTCGCAATCACATATCACATGACCTGACCCAGTGTCTTCATTGTGAATGATCTCCCTTTGATAATAAATCTGATTATCCATTCCGTTTTCAATAACTTCCATGCCATCAGAATGGTATTCATACTCTTCTTGATCGATATCAGCAAAATCATCATCGTTGTAATTTTCCTCATGGAAAAAGTCTCCTGTATCAATTCCATTATCGTGTATTCGACCATTTTTCAAGTTATCTTGAAACTGCCGAATGTTAACATCGTAACTTGACAGACTGAACTCCCTGGAGAGTTTATTATTAGAATTTATAATCTCCACTTCCTGGTCGTAACCACTATTATCAGACGTCTCGAATGGATCATCATAATTACCATCGTCCACATCACTATGATCCATTTCTTCATCGGTTGCTGTTGTCAATCCAAACTGAGCCGTTCCATTCAACTCACACGACGGCTCCAAATGTTTAAATCCCTTGTCGTAGTTATGTTCAAGATTTTCCTGAATTATATTTTCCTTAGAACTTAAGTTACGAGTCATACCTTTAGGTTTAGGTTTTTCCAACTTTTTCCAAATATCTTCAATATTCGCCATAGTTTATAAAACCACCCTTATAACTCAATATCCGTTACAGCTTTAGCTTTTAATATGAATAATTAATGATCCAATAGCACTTAAGAATTTATTGTCTTTTAAAAACATGTGTCCTCTAAAACCACTTTAATGTTTAAAATCTTCCTCCTTACCTCTGCCTAGAAATGAATTAAAACAACATCTATACTTAATTAGCTTGTATAATATGATAAATCTACAAAATTAATTAAGCATCACAGAGTTCTTTTCCTTGAAATTTTTTTTTTTAAATTAAAGGCCCATTATGCCTTCAAACACTTTCATTTTTGATTTTCATCAAAAACTTTTTTTATTTTTGTTAATTTGTTACAGTTTCCGAAAATAAACCCAAAAAAACTCATTTGCCACTTTAGGATGAACTAACTTTTGTTTCTTTTACCCAGTGTTTTTATAACTATAATGAATTACTACTAGTATTTTGTATGCTAAATGTACTTTGTTTGTTTACATTTTGCTACCTTAACGACTGTTTTATTCCTGCATGTTCAGTCTACTTTCTTCAGTTGTTAAACTTTAAACATACTCTTAATCCATCATTAAACACATGTTTGAGATTTCTAAATTTCCAATTAATCTGAATGAATGTGCCTTTAATAGGGGAAAAAAATCAACTTCATCATTTTAAATACATCTCATAACACAAATATAGCCAAATAAAGTCCAGATAATTATATAGATATGATGTAAAATCTAAAAAATGAAAAAAAAATCTTAGGGAAAAAAAAAAATCACCAACCAAACATAAATTTAATCTCAAATTTCACTCGAACATATCAAAACTGTTAAGGGTTGCAATTGTTGTTGTTGTTGTTGTTGTCAGATTTAAATACATTAATAGCTTCAAGTATGTCCCTACATTCTTTGGTATCTTCAAACTGCAAACTCTTTCTGACACTGA